TGGATAGCCCGACCATTACTCATGAGATCAAAGCTCCCGGCCTCAGCATGGGGACATGCAGTATTACATGCTGCTGAACTCATACGCATCCGGCCATCTAGTGAACACAAATATTCCCCATCCCAACTACTCTCGGGTCATGAGCCAGACATCTCCCATCTCAAAACATTTGGGTGTTCAGTATATGTACCCATTGCTCCACCACATCGAACCAAAATGGGACCTCAAAGAAGGATGGGAATATATGTTGGTATTGACTCTCCCACCATCATAAGATATCTCGAGCCAACCACTGAAGATCTCTTCAAGGCCAGATATGCGGATTGCCAATTCGATGAATCCGTATATCCCTCTTTAGGTGGTGAGACAAACAAGCTGGTCAAAGATCTTTCATGGAATCAAACATCATTAAATTGGCAAGATCCTCGGACTCTAGAATGTGATTCAGAGATCCAAAAGATTATTCATTATCAAAAGCTAGCTAATCAATTGCCAGATTCCTTTGCTGACCCGACCAAAGTAACCAAATCGTACATCCCAGCTTGTAATGCACCAGTACGAATAGCTGTCCCAACGGGACAGACCCAAGTTGCTACAGATTCTGCACCACGTCTCAAACGGGGCAGACCTCTCGGTTCCAAAGATAAGAATCCCCGGAAATCAAAGAAAGGTGCAATAACCGAAACCGGGATTCCTGCAATATCAGACATAGCCGCGGCTGAGACTCAATCTAATGAACCCTCAATAGAAGTTCGGGACGCCGAATCTCCAGGTTCAGAAGATAACAATGAGATCTCCATCAATTACAATATGTCCGGAATACAATGGAATCGAAAAGAAGTCGACTTAAATGCACTCTTTGCATACAAAGTAGCACTTGATGTTGCGCTCACGCAAGAGGATCTAGAACCCACGTCAATAACACAGTGTACACATCGAACAGATTGGCTAAAATGGAAAGAAGCCATAAACGTGGAGTTAAAGAGTCTCAAACTCAGAAACGTGTTCGGTCCGATCATCCGGACCCCATCACACATCAAGCCAGTGGGCCACAAATGGGTCTTTGTGCGCAAAAGGAACGAACTCGGTGAAGTCGTTCGATACAAAGCACGGCTTGTAGCACAAGGATTCTCACAGAGACCCGGAATCGATTATGAGGAGACTTATTCTCCAGTGGTGGATGCAACAACATTCCGATTCCTCATAAGTCTGGCCATAAGAGAAAATCTTGATCTGCGGTTAATGGATGTTGTAACCGCATATCTCTATGGGCCCCTGGACAACGAAATATATATGAGACTCCCAGATGGCATTGAACTAAAAGACAAAAATGCATCTCGAGATCAATACTGCATCAGGCTGAACAAATCCTTGTATGGACTGAAACAAAGTGGGCGTATGTGGTACAACCGCCTCAGCGATTACCTCATCAAAGAAGGCTACAAAAATGACCCCATCAGTCCATGCATCTTCATCAAGAAGTACTCAAACAAAGGATTTGTAATCATAGCAGTATACGTGGATGATCTAAACATCCTCGGAACATCTGGTGAGATCTCCCAAACAGTCGACTGCTTAAAAGCAGAATTCGAAATGAAAGACCTAGGCAAAACAAAGTACTGTTTGGGATTACAACTTGAGTACATCAAAGGAGGAATCCTTGTGCATCAATCGGCTTATATCGAAAAGGTACTCAAGCGATTTAATATGGACCAAGCTCACCCATTGACCAGCCCAATGGTAGTTAGAAGCTTAAGTGATGACCCTCTTGGTCCCAAAAAGGATGATGAAGAAATCCTTGGTCCTGAAAAGCCATACCTCAGTGCTGTAGGAGCGTTAATGTACCTGGCTAGTCACACTAGACCAGACATATGTTTCGCCGTGAACCTCCTCGCTCGATATAGTTCATCTCCAACTCAGAGGCACTGGAACGGTATAAAACATCTCCTAAGATACCTTCGAGGTACTCAAGACTTAGGACTCTTCTATACTAACCAAAATAAAGATGGGTTAGTCTGCTTCGCCGATGCAGGATATCTATCAGATCCGCACACTGCCAAGTCTCAAACTGGCTACGTTTTTACGCATGGAGGAACAGCCATCTCTTGGAGATCAATGAAGCAGACACTCACTGCCACTTCATCAAACCATGCTGAAATCCTAGCCATTCATGAGGCTAGTAGGGAATGCGTCTGGCTGCGCTCCATGACTCAGCACATCCGCAGAGATTGTGGTATGGACGAAGACACACAGCCCACGGTGATGTATGAAGACAACGCGGCATGCATAGCTCAGCTCAAGGAAGGATATATCAAAGAAGATCGGACGAAGCACATTCTACCGAAGTTCTTCTCAACCTCAGACTGGCAGAAGGACGGCACTCTCAGCGTTCAGCAGGTCCGATCCAGTGAGAATTCAGCTGACCTCTTCACCGAATCATTGCCTACTTCAACACACCGGAAGCTCGTCAAACAGATAGGAATGTATAGACTTAGAGATCTGCAGTGATGCTACAATCAGAGGGAGTAATGCGTGTTGTACTCTTTTTCCTTCACCATGGTTTTGTCCCACTGGGTTTTTCCTGGTAAGGTTTTAATGAGGCAACATTCCCCAGCGCATTATCGAGATCCCGATTGAGTAGCTGACCCGGTTCACTCGTCCAAGGGGGAGTGTTATAACACATATCATATATGGACTCTTATACCGGCCCATTAGGCCCATCAGGGCATTGTACTTAACCTAGATTCCCTATGTACTCTATATATACATTCCAGTGATTAATAAAGTTTCTAAGAAGTTTTCACAACATAAATTGAGTTAACTGATTATATTTGTGTTTTTTTTTGTTTGCAGTGCGTTTTTTTAACTGAGATGTTATTACATCATAGCGTTGTTTTTGTGAGATAACTGAAAGTTTTCGTTGCAATATTATTTGTGTATTGTCAAGACTGCATTTGATTGGTTGTTACTACATTTAGTGTCCAAAATTATTATATTTTCCAACTGCAAAAAATTATTTTCAGCGATGAAACCACGTTTGCTTTTACGTTTCGAAGATTAAGCATTAGGAATTGGAAAGAATCTCCACTGCTTTTACATCATCACCACCACACTTTCCAGTTTACACCTATGTCATATATGCTGAATTAAAGAGCTATATAAATAAATAATCATAAAGATGACTCAGAATATCTAATTACATAAAATTCTAACAAACGAATTTGACCAAAACAAAAAATAATTGAAGAGTAGTATATTGGATAAACTGGAATCAGATATAATGAAATCATCAGAAAGGTTTGGATCCGACAATTTAATCATTAGAATTTATTCTACCAATATTAGAAAATTTTATATTGATAGATTCTATACGTTTACTAACATTAATTTCCAGAAATCGAAATCTTCAATATAAACCGACAAATAAATCATAAGCAAATGTGAATGGTTCTTCTTCTATGCAGCACCTTTTCAAATTTTCGGATCACCATCACTTTTTCTATTTTTGAGCAAATCTATACCCTTTATTCCTTTTACAATCTATACCCTCCACTCCTATCATATTAGTAATATTACCTCACCACCATAATTGCCAGTATGATCTTATCTGCGAACTCATAGAAAACTCATTAAATTTGTTTGGTAATAAACCAAAACTTGAAAACATATATTTGTTGACTCTTAGTGAACATATCTCTTGAGTTTCATATGAGAATTTATATATGTCAATAAAGCAGAATTAGGAGCCTACCTTCGAAGTCCTTAAGACATCAAAGGAAACTGTTTTCGCACAACATTCATAGTTCCTAAATATCTTAAGGGCATTCCCATGTGCGTTTATATCAAATCTTTTGCACTTTTTGCAGTATACATGACAGAATAAAGAACATAGGGCAGAACAGAGTTCACATTAATTTAAAAGATGTATTGGTACGCAAATGTATCCCAGGTAGACAATATAGACAAATAAGCTGGGTAAAAAAATCTTGAGGAAGTCAGAGATAGGCGGGAAAGAGGGAAGACTAAAAGGCTAGCAAGATGAATGAAGATGTAAGTGTACATGTTTGAGTGACTATAGGTAACCTAAGTGATTTCCTATTGTGCGTAATAGAGCCTTATATTTTTCTAGGTTTTGTCGCCGCCTACTCTTTGATATATAATGAATCCGTGTAGAACAATCCACTGCAAGAAATGTTGTTGATTTGGCTATCTCACTGATTACTCTTGCATGATGAATCCATGTAGAACAACAATAGACTTTCCTTTTTATGTTTTAGAGGTTGGTGGTTTGAAGGTGCTTTGGGAGGAAGATACGAAAAAAAGTGAAGAAGATGAAGCTAAATATGCAAAAGTAGTGGCTAATTTAATGTGCGAGAAACGTAGGGAAGAAAGAATTAAGAGGTAGAGAAGTGGGGGGAGGGAGATGAGAAGACCACCGACTACCAATCTACCATAACTGAGCTTAGACGTTGAATTTTGTCCTAACCACGTGGCTATCATTGATAGTCTTTTTTTTGTGGATAACTCCTAGAAACAAAAAGCTTTCCTAGAGTTTGTTTTTTGGTTTGATGATGTGGCAAGAGGATATAGTGTTTAGAATTGCTGATGTGGATAGGATGAGGAGCCTCAAACAGCTGTTTTTATATAGTATAGATATTAAATTTAATTTAATAATTTTTTTTGAACATGAATCAGTCTTGGATACATTTCTATATCATAATGAATCCTTTATTTCCAGGGTTAAATAAATAGAATTAGTTTTTATTCAGTTGCTTTGGGTTAAGAAAATTTTCATTAAGGAAAAACAGTTTTGTTCGATCGTTAGCATTGAAGATGAAATCATTAAAATTTAGATTGGCCAGATTTTGCTTTAATGAGAAACTGGGCTATACAAAAAAAGAAACTACACATACATTTGGACCCATAAAGGCCCATATAGTTTCCTTAATCGCTGTCCTTTCTCTCCCTCGACTCGAACGGATCTTAGGTCTCTCTTCGTCTCTTTAACGCTACCTACTTTTTCCCCTCTTTTTCAAAACCAGTAAATTCAGGAAACTCCCATTTTTAAGCGAAGCTAAAGCAAGCGAATTTTTCGGAAGTTCGAATTCTGAGAAGTTTACAGAGATGAGAGGTTTTTTCAGTCGAGGAGCGAAAGACTCTCCGTCTTCCGCCTCTCCGTCACCGATATCATACCCTTCGATATCTCCAGCTTCGTCGTCTGCAGTGACAGGCCCACCGAGACCGATTCGTCTAGTGTATTGTGATGAGAAAGGCAAGTTTCGTATGGACCCTGAAGCTGTAGCTACTTTGCAACTCGTCAAGGAACCGATCGGTGTTGTCTCGGTTTGTGGTAGGGCTCGTCAAGGAAAGAGCTTTATTTTGAACCAGGTAGGGTTTTGCTGCTTTTCTTTCCCTTGAAGTTTGTTTCCAAGTATTTCGTGGGTAATGTTGTTTGTTTGATCGATTGATTTTGTGTACATTGTTTCGAGCTCCAGATTTTTTTGGCAAATTAGGGTTTCTGTTTTTGATTTTCTGAATTGTTTTTTTTTTGCGTTTTGTAGCTTCTTGGACGAAGTAATGGGTTTCAAGTAGCATCAACACACAAGCCGTGTACCAAGGGGCTTTGGCTGTGGAGCTCTCCTATTAAACAAAAAGCTCTTGATGGAACCGACTATAATCTTTTGTTGTTAGATAGTGAAGGGATTGATGCTTACGACCAAACGGTAAGTAAAACTGTAATTTACCAGCTAAATTGCTTTGTGACTTGCCGCTTACAAAAATTTGGTTTCTTTCCAAGATTTTGGGTTTATCAACATGTTCTTGATTTTCTTACTTCCAATGCTACAGGGTACCTATAGCACTCAGATATTCTCATTAGCTGTTCTTTTGTCAAGCATGTTCATATACAATCAGGTTTGTTAAAGTTCCAGTTCGAACTTGTGCATATGTCTGCCTTAGCTGTTATCTTTTTGGCTTAGTTGTTGTATTTGCTTGTATGTGTCAGATGGGAGGTATTGACGAAGCTTCACTCGATCGACTTTCTCTTGTCACTCAAATGACGAAGCATATCCGTGTAAAAGCGTCTGGAGGAACGAGTTCACGTTCTGAAATTGGACAGTTTTCTCCCATCTTTGTCTGGCTCTTGAGGGTAATTCTCTGCTATTTTGATGTAATTTTTTGTTATGTAGATATTATAGCTTATAGATATTTATGTATTAACTTTGCTATCTTTACCTGCAGGACTTTTATCTGGATCTAGTGGAAGATAACCGTAAGATTTCTCCGCGTGACTACTTAGAAATTGCGTTAAGGCCGGTTCAAGGTAGTGGAGGAGATATTGGTGCTAAAAATGAGGTAATAGTTGTATTCATTCATATAGTCATCCACTCTTGGGAAAGCTGGGTGTGGCTATCAAGTGTAATTTTTTGGTAGCACAATTGTGAGTCAATGTTAATGAAAACAATGTCTCTGCAGATCCGAGATTCCATTCGTGCTCTCTTTCCCGACCGAGAGTGTTTTCCCCTTGTAAGGCCTCTGAACAATGAAAAGGACCTCCAGAGACTTGATCAAATTTCGGTTAGCATCGTTCTATGCATGCTGTTTCACCTATAATACTATGCTGTAACGGCTTGGATGTTTTTTTTAATACTTGGTTGCATTATATCCTGTGCTATGCAGTTGGATAAATTGAGACCTGAGTTCGCCGCTGGCCTGGATGCATTGACCAAGTTTGTTTTTGAGAAGACGAGGCCCAAGCAATTAGGGGGTACTGTGATGACTGGTCCTATTCTTGTCGGTATTACACAGTCTTATCTGGATGCATTGAATAATGGTGCCGTGCCAACAATAACCTCATCTTGGCAGGTTTGATATCTCTTACCTCTGTGGATTTTCAATACATTTGACGTCAAAACCCATTATTTTTCGTAAAAACTCTGAGACTTGAAGGATATGACCAGGTTTATTTTACAAAGTGTGGATCATTAATTGGTAAACATATGGTTGATTATTGCGTTCAGACATTTGTGTACTTCAAACTATCGTGGGGATCCGTTGGGATGTTATTAATGCATTCTCTAGCCTATTTTTCCCTCAGATACACTTCATAAAGTGAGTTTTTGATTATGTCCTTGTAGAGTGTGGAAGAAACTGAGTGTCGAAGAGCATATGACTCCGGTGTAGAAACCTACATGGCTGCCTTTGACCAATCAAAAACTCCTGAAGAAGTAAGTACTTTGGCGTTAGCCTCTCGTTATTTGTAATCGATGATTAATGCTTCATTCCAATTCTGCTATATGTAGGGTGCACTGAGGGAAGAACATGAAGAAGCAGTTCGAAAAGCCTTGGCTATGTTTAACGCTAATGCTGTAGGGACTGGTTTAGCAAGAAAAAAATACGAGGATCTTCTCCACAAAGACTTGAAGAAAAGATTTACGGTAATAATGTTATTCAGCAACAAGCATTATGTTTTTGAGTTTTGGCTGGTTAATACGATTTGCTTACTCAAGTTTTCACGTGAATTTTCTCTTACTGCGTTATGCCTGATATAGATTATCTTTTGTTGATTCAGGATTACAAAAAAAATGCATTCATGGAGGCAGATTTGCGATGCACGAGTACTATCCAAAGTATGGAGAAGCAGCTGAGAGCAGCTTGCCATGCCTCTAATGCGAATATGGATAATGTTGTCAAGGTTGGTTACTGATGGCTAGATGTACTACGGATGGAAGTTCCCACGTGGTTTTAATTGGTTGCTGATTGTTACTCTTTACTTATATCTAATGATTGATTGTCTCAGGTTCTAGAAGCTCGTTTGTCAGACTATGAAGCATCATGCCATGGCCCAGGGAAATGGCAGAAACTTTCGGTGTTCTTGCAACAAAGGTATTTTAATATTTCCTCTCCCCGCTGATTTTAATTTACGTCTAGTTTGTTTAGAGGTCCGTTTAGTTTTCCTGTGCATTTTGTGATCTTGTTTTTAACCATGCAGCTTGGAAGGACCGATATATGATCTCACCAAAAGACTTATAGATAATATCGCTATAGAGAAGAACTCACTTGCAGTGAAATTCCGTTCTGTTGAAGATGCAATGAAGCATTTAAAGCAGCAGTTGGATGATAGTGAGAAATACAAGTTGGAATACCAGAAACGTTATGATGAATCCAACATGGACAAGAAGAAACTGGAAGATATATATAGAGAACGCATAACTAAATTACAGGGAGAGAACAGTTCGCTGAATGAGAGATGCTCCACTTTGGTTAAAACTGTGGAATCTAGACAAGAAGAAATCAAAGAATGGAAAAGAAAGTATGACCAGCTTGTTTTGAAACAGAAAGCTGTTCAAGATCAGCGTAATTCTGAAATGGAAGTCCTTAGGACACGAAGTACTACTTCTGAAGCTAGGCTTGCTGCAGCTAGAGAACAGGCCAAATCCTCTCAAGAAGAGTCAGAGGAATGGAAAAGGAAGTATGATTTTGCTGTTGGAGAGGCAAGATCTGCTCTTCAAAAGGCTGCTTCAGTGCAAGAACGTTCAGGCAAGGAAACCCAATTGAGGGAAGACGCTCTTAGGGAGGAATTTACTTTCACTTTAGCTGAAAAGGTATCTTTCTTTGTCCTATTTGTAAAGAGACGACTTTAAGTTTTGTAATCATCAATATATCATCAATATGCGGTGTTAATCAATTTCAGGATGAAGAAATTAAGGAGAAGGCTACAAAAATTGAGAAGGCCGAGCAGTCTCTAACCGTTCTGAGGTCAGATTTGAAGGTGAGCTTTTCGAAATGATAGTATATCTATGTTAACGTAGTCTCAGTAACTCTTTCCTTATGTGTGATATCTTTCCGTTACTTATCGCTCCTTGCATCCTGATAAGTTGGTTGTTTCGGTTGAACAATTGTGGGATGTGAATCTTAGCTTGTGTGGTATCTTTTGCAGGCGGCAGAGTCGAAAATTAAAAGCTTTGAAATGGAAACAGCATCACTGAAATTAGAGTTAAGGGAAATGATTGATAGGTTAGACAGTGCCAGCACAAAAGCTCTAGCATATGAAAAGGAGGCAAACAGGTTGGAGCAGGAGAAAATCCTTTTGGAGCAAAAGTACCGATCTGACTTTGAAAGATTCGATGAAGTCCAAGAGAGATGCAAGGCAGCTGAAATAGAAGCTAAACGCGCTACTGAACTGGCGGACAGAGCTCGAGCTGATGCCGTCACTTCCCAAAAGGAGAAAAGTGAGAGTCAGAGGTTGGCAATGGAAAGACTTGCTCAGATTGAGCGAGCGGAGAGACAAGTCGAAAACTTAGAGAGGCAGAAAACTGATTTGGAAGAAGAATTGCACAGACTTCGTGTGTCTGAGATGGAGGCTGTCTCCAAAGTTACAGTCTTGGAAGGAAGAGTCGAAGAACGAGAGAAAGAGATCGAGTCATTGCTAAAGATAACCAATGAGCAGAGGGCGCATAACGTGAAGTCTTTGGAGAAGCTATTGGATGAGGAGCGTAAGGCTCATATAGCTGCGAACCGAAGAGCTGAAGCTCTTTCGCTTGAGCTGCAAGCTGCACAGGCAAGCGTTGATAATCTCCAGCAGGAATTAGCTCAAGCTAGGCTAAAAGAAACTGCATTAGACAACAAAATCAGAGCTGCGAGTTCGTCACGTGGGAAACGGACCAGAACTGAAGACGTTATTGATATGGACATTGGTGAAACAAGTGATAGAATCTTGAGGACTAACAACGATCTCGAAGCGCAAGAGGAGATGATCATGGTGCTTATGAGGATGGTGTTTCGGTTTCTAGAGTCGATGAGGACACTCAAAACCAGCAAGGCGAGGAGGAGGAGGAAGCAGAAGACTACAAGAAGTTCACAGTGCAGAATCTAAGGCACGAGCTGACAAAGTACGATTTCGGGCATTTGATACTTAACCGAGGGCATCAAAACAAGAAAGAGATTGTTGCTTTGTATGAAGCTCATGTTCTTCCTAAGAAAGAGGAAGAGAGAAAGAGGCAGAGAGAAGCTACTTCTTAGGACAAACTCGAAGTTTCGATCTTTAGAGATGAGTTAAGCGTTTGGATTTAGAAAGGCTTTGACTTTGTGTATTGTTTGACGGTACTGAAGCTAGTTTTATTATTGGTTTTATGAGTGTCTCTTTTGTGTTGGTGTTATTAATTTGTGTGGGCATTGAGTCGGTTTGGTGTTGGACCTTTTGTTTTACAGACTTTATTTTTGTTAAGAATACTGTTGAGCTTGATTTCGACCTTTTGCTTTGGAATTTTTAAACGCTTTGATTCTCTGTCAACGTTATTGACTATTGGGTTTTAACTTTAAGGGAATGATTCTAGCGTTTTTAGTGATAAGCTTTTCTACATTTGACTTACGTGTGTAATGTGATGTGATACCGAGAGAAGAAAATTAGTGACTTTCTTAGTTAAGGAATAAAGGATTGTTGAATGTTTTGATGACTAGAAAAAAAAAAGAACGGTTCTTTGCCGTGATATAAATTCGCGGAAAGGTATTATTATTTCTTTAACAGCTTACAGATAAGTTCTAACGGTAAAGGAAAAGCCGAAAACGATTTATTAATAGAATTATGCTAAAGGTGATATAATAATATTCTTTCTTCGTTATGAATATATTTAATTATTTTTTCATTTTTTTTCCCATATCCTTTTATCATTTCAATCTACAAAACACCTTGATTTTAGAACCAAGGTGTATATTCGGTAGTTACACCAAAAAAGAAAAACATAAAATCTAGCAATAAAAAGACAAAGGAGGATATTTAAACCCAATATTTTATAATAAGTATGATAATTCATAAGAATTTTCGCTTTTAATCAAGCAATTAACTCTGATGCCAATTTAACATGAATCAAAACTGAATTAAACGCATCAAAAATTAAATAAAATCTGCCAAACTCTTTTCACCAAAGAAGAAAAACAAAACTGACTTATTCCACAAGGTATAAGATTAGGTCCACCGTCCAATTTTGACGAAATTCTAGCTTCCAAGTCTCGTAAAAATATCAGGATGAGTTAATTAAATATTCTTTCTTTCTTTCGTACACACCTACAGTATTTTAATTATCAATCCTCGTAGTCTATGTTTGTTTCGGACAGAGCACGCCAAATTATTTTTGATCTCTATAGATAAGAACCATATATATTTAAAATATATTTTCGTAGATTGATGCGTTTAAAAGCATCAATGAACATTATTAATTGAATAATAAAACCGAATTTACACGCCAAAATTATATAATTTGTACACGGCGTAAAATAACATTTACGAAACTGTTCCATTAATAACTACTCTACCCCTTAAACTCCCAATTTTCTCCCTAAATGCCCCCAAAACTTTTAAAAATGTTCAAATCATCCTCCTTCTTCCCTCTCCAAACTGTTCAAAATCGCCGCCACCTGAGAAATCGACGGCCGGCTCCTCCGCGAGTTTCCAACGCAAGCCAAAGCAACCTTAGCAAATCTTATAACCAAACACTTGGTCTCACTCTGAACAACTATCCTCGGATCTAAAAGCTCGCCGAATCTCTGTTCTTTGATCAATGGCGTTGCCCATTTCACGATCAATCCGTTCTCGCTTCTTCTCCCACTCAGAATCTCCAGCAAAACGACGCCGAATCCATACACATCGCTCTCTTTGCAATACCCTTCTTCAACGTACCCAGAAATCTCCGATTTCTCACGCGGAATCAAAAACCCGAATCCGTAATCGGAAACCTTCGCCATGAATTTCTCATCTACCAATACATTCGAAGACGTGAATCGACCATGGACGATTCTAGGGTTTATAACTTCGTGCAAATACTCCAAACCTCTCGCCGCTCCCGCCGCGACTCTGAAACGCTTTCGCCAATCAAAATCAACCGCGGAAACCGCCGATTCGACATCGGAATCTCCGTATAAGTGATCGCTCAAACTCCTCGCTTCTCCGACGAATTCAGTCACCACGATTCTCTCTCCGGGAGCTTCTGAAAACCCTAGAATCGAGACGACGTTGGGATGCTGAGAAGAAGAAAGCGTTTTAAGAACCGTGGAAAAACCGGAACCCGGTTTACTCAAAACCAAACTGGGATGTATTCTTTTGACCGCGACGAGGTTTTTATGCGATGGAAGAACCGCCGCGTAAACCGTTCCTAACCGACCACTACCGATGATTCGTCGCTGGTTAAATCCGTCGGTTGCTGAATCTAATTCGGTTAAGGGATAAGAAAGACCGGCCGATTTGGTTTCTGGAAGCAGAGGTTCGTCGGACCGGATCGGTTTCTTTCTGCATAATAAGAAGAGGAAGATGATGAGAAGAAGAAGTGAGAGCGAGAGAAGAGATAGAACAGAGGCGTAAGCGATTTTTGCAGATTTGTCCATTTTATTTTTAATTGAAACAAAACAAAAAGAAACTCGTTATGATTATGGGGTTTGTGTGTGTATATATACGACTAATGAGAAGAAATTTTTGATCCTAAAATAAAACGTCAAAAAGACAAAGGAATGAATAATATACGTCTAGATGTTCAATAAATATTCATAGACTACTTTATTTTAGTGGAAAACTAATAATTAAATTATAAATCTTTTTTTTTAACGGCTAATATTAAATTATAAATCTATATACAGGAAGTATATGTTTGGATGTTGATTTTCAAATTTGTAAATAATAAATCTTTATTGCACTATAAATTTTTAAAAAGATACAAAAACTTGTCATAGAATAATTGTTATACAAAATCAACATATTAATTAGAACATGTACCATCGTAATCTTGGTTAATATCAACGTTGTGTCAGATTTAAAATATATCTTTAGAGAATATTAAATTATGAGTTGACAACAAAAGCAGACTATAATGAAAATATATTTACCGAAATGGTTTGTCAATAACAATGCAACAAAAACGGTAATGAAAATGACAAAAGCGAAAATAAGTAGATTTTTCATTTCATATGATTTAAACAAAAATATATTGTAAATAGTGTTATTAAAAAAGTACATGTGAAATCTATGTTGTTTAAAAAAAAGAAGTGTGATAAACTTATTTATATTTTGCCACATATATTTTTACACATATGGTCATTTACGGCTATCATTCTTAAAGAAATTGTATTAGGATATGATTATATCCTAATACTCTGTTGCAATTTTTTCTATTAACAGTAGGAACCTATGTCAGAAGATGATATATATAAACTATAAAGGTAGATGGAGAAATCTTTAACATTATATAAAAAAGTTTAGTATGTTTGTTACCGATACTTTAAAGTAAACCAAGCTCATAGCAATTGTGAATAAATCAATTATAAAAAAATACATGAGTTATTTATAAAAAAATTTAGCAGAAAGTTGGGGGTGTTGGGCTTTTAGGTAAGAAAAGGTTGGAACTTGGAACCAATTGTCGATAATTTCAGTTATCGTTGGTTAATCCTCAATTCATAATGTCAATCAATTTTATACAATTCAAGTTAATATAGCGTAATGTATAGATCAAACGATCTGATAAATATCGCATACTGAAAATGTATAGATCAAACGATCTTTTTTTTTTTTTTAGTATACGTGTTAAAACTCGCATATTGAAACAAGTTTATAAATTAGTCCAATATGTAAAACGACATGAACAAATGCATTTGTTGTCAATCAGTTTTCAATATAAAAATAAATAATAACTATCTATAATATCAATTTGCAAAGAAATATTGTTAATGATTATTATTTGTTAGTTCTTGATAAATTATTGTCCTAAAGTTGTTTTAGTTGTGAAAATGCAGCAACTATTGATTGTTTACATGTGTTCTTCTTTGACAACATTTACTTGCCCCCAGTTTATGAATGAACGTTTATAATATGTTCAGTCAGTCACCGATTAGTGAAAAATATGATATAAAAAGTATACTAAATTTTATGAGATTGAAATATTCGAGATGGACCCATCTAACTTTGGCAGGTGAAACTCGCACCTAATCAATAATAACATAATGCCATTGACATTATATATCTAATTTTCTCTTATGTTAATTTGTATCACTGGGTGAATAATATATTTTCTGACATATTTACATATTATACAAAGAAATCAAAACATAATTTAATAATTACTAGGTATTTAGTCCGCGACTTGCGCGGGCCAAAAAATTAAAAAAAAAGATTTATGCTATAAATTGAAAATAATTAAAACAATTATTTAAAATATAATTTAATTATGATAAATTCTAGTTTTTCGTTTCCTATTTAACTAAAAAAGTAAACAAAATTCAAAATTAATTACCTAAAAAATATTTTATAACTGAATAGTCCACAAACTAATTTAATTAAGATAAATTCTAGTTTTTCGTTTCCGACTTTTTCCTCTTCATTATTTTTTTTTTCTTTCTTCTTCATCATTTTTTCCTTATTTTTCTTTTGTCCATATTTTTTCTTGTTTTTTTTTCATGCTAATAACAAAAATATCAAAAATTAAACAAATATCAAAATAATACTTTAAGTAAAATGGAGTCTCCACAAAAGGATTGTGACATTTTCACGGTCAAAGATTTGCAGATTTTTGTATATAATTTATCATCGATTTCTTTCACATTGTTGTGCTAGAATATTTATTTGTTACCATATTAAATAATTTTAAAAAATAAAGAAAATACAAAATTAGATGGAATTGAATCCTTCCAACATACAAACTTAAGAAAACTTAGAGTTTTAGCTACTTAAACATAAATTTTACATCTTTCGTGAAACTTAAGCAAGAGAAGCTTTACTCTGATCCAAAAACAACATTATATAATTAACAGTTCAAACTCAACTGGAAACACATGAGATGAAAGCACTCCACACGAAAAAGATTTCAGTCGGAGAAACGTGCAAAAGATCAAAATACAAATAGTTACCTTTTTTTCTCATGTCTTTGCCCATAAGTAAAATAAAGAAACCAGAAACCAATATCAAAAAATATCCCAACACTGGACATAAGAGACAAACACACACAAAGCTCATTCAAATAAAGTGATGTTCGAATAAAAAATAGTAATTTTGTTCATGTATCATCATTATTATCAATAGAACTAACTTTGAGAGTAAGAATATGCCAAGTGGACTAACATTTTTGCTGGATCTAAACTCCTTGTTAGCTTGTTTTTTTTTGTTCTCGGCAGCGACAGGTGGGGTCTTGGATAAAACACAGACCACCAGGCACCATGTTCTGCACCTTGTTCACCGCAGCTTCTTTTGAACTATTATAAATTTAGGATTCATCAGATCAAATAATAATCCATAATCAAATGAATAAACCTATGTTTTTGTATGTGTTCTTTTAAAGTTTCATGTACCTTCTAACAGTTCAATCAGCTTGGCAACCTTCACAAGAACCAGGTGAACTCACGTTCATTACCATGAGGGATTTCGACACCGTATGTCCTATAGACCATTCTGAATCGTCACCAAGAGCCTACACCACAAAACAGAATACATGATCCTTTTGTAATAATTTTTTAAAACATATAAAACGCTTTTATCTGACTCCGAGAACTGGTTCGAATCATGACCATAATCTATGTCTTCATCACCAGCAAATGAAATCTGTTGCATCGCAAGATGAAACAATAAAACGCGAGCACCTAAGAAAGAAAAAACAAAAACAATCAAAACTTAAAACAGATAAGAATCAATAAATAAAAAAGGTTCGACTCAGCCCCAACTAATAAAAGAGAAAGAAAAGTGCACCAAAACTGGCTAATATATAAAACATAAATATGATAGATAATAAAAAAATCACAAATCTAAACCTAAAGCACAAAAAAGAAAATAAAATGTTACCCTTCGGTATAGCAGTAAACTAAACAATCAACGATCAAGAAAGTCTGGCTAAAACACCACCTCCTAAACAAAAAAAAAACATCAAACACTATTATTAATAAGAATAATTTATAAAATATAAATATAATCCAACTTCTAATATACATCAGAACACAATATATTCTTGAAAGAGCTATAAAAGGGAAGACACAAGGTATCGCCTAATATATACAAAAGAATGTATATCTACATGAGCTAACAGAAACAAATATAAAACAAAAATAACAACCGAATAGAAAATTAGAAAGCACAAAAACTATTTTTTAAGAAGTCACAAGATCACTAATGTGAAACACACGAAATATATAGCTTACATGATCGCCAAACATTACAACCGTGTAAGTGAAGAAAAAAAATTGGTTGAAAAATCTTTATAATTTATGCAAATCGGATAATTCATATATATTTTTTATTAAAAACAATATCTAAGTATTTATCAAGACTTACTTAAAGATTAAGGGAGTAACATAACTATATATATGATGATTTTTCATTTTTTAATGTTTTTTATAATTCATATAAATATTTTTTTTTTTTAAAAAGAAAACAATATCTAAGTATCTATTAAGTAAGATTTACTTAAAGATTTAACATAATTATATATGATAATTTTCGATTTTTAATGTTTTTATAAAAATTAATTTAAATAAAATTAATTTTGTTTTTTATCTTTGTTTTAAAAAATCGTGATCTTTGTTGTAAAATCGTGATTTTTTATTTGATAAAATCATAGATTTTGATCAGATTGAGATAAAATCATGTATTTTGATTTGATTTAATATTATTACAACCTATATTATAATCGTGATTTTAGTTGTAAACAATTTTTTTTGTTTTTAAATTAAAAATAATTTTAAAGAGAGGTAAAGGGTAATTAGCCACTCTAAGATTCAATGAGAGAGCTTTAAACGAAATTTTTACTTCGCTTATAATATATATGATTGGATGAATTATATTATATCTTTTATTGTGGTTATTAGTACCAATTTCTCATATAACATAACATATAAAAATATGTTTAATTTGTTTATAGATTAGTCATAGAAATTTGTAAAGACCAAAAATTTGAAACTATCTTTTTTCGTTTTGACGACTATTACAACATCATCAAGATATTCAATATAAATCTAGAGTTAAATGACTGAATACCAATGGATGAAATTAAATTGAGGAAATAGGAAACATAGTTTATAAACGAAGTAAATACAATTTACCAAATTCATGGTATCCAGAAATGCCCCTACATTTATGAAAAGAAGTCTTTGCAAACGCATTTATTGCTTATTCTTTTTGTGGGGACAGACAATATTAAAGTACAATGGAATTTTTGAAGAGATCCTATACTATTTGGCCTCTCAATCTTGACTGTCCATTAAAAATTATTTAGAATTTTTTTTATCTCCGTTAGCGTACAAAAATGAAACCAGATAGTTACCTTCCATATTAATGGTGATAACATTGTTGTCTGTATAACCATTTAGAGAAGTTAAACACAGAAAGATAAAAGAATTATTATAAAAATATTGTCAGATAACTTAACATACACTGATAATATGGTTGCTTTATGTTTTTGTTGTCATTGTATAACTGAATGTATATAATAAAATAAAGATATTGACAGGTAACTTAATGAGGCCAATATCCTTAGACGGTCAGAGGAACTCGTACTCAGGAGGAGGTAAATAGGATTATTACTTTTGAATAGTAAAGTGTGTTGTTATCTGATTAACATAGTTAATTGTTAACAGTTAATTGTTAACATTATAAGTTATCTAATCAATTATGTTATCTATGTTGTTCATTGTTATCAGAGAAATCTGGTTCTGATTTATCATCTAGTATCATATTTAAAAATGTTCATCTTATAGGTGGGTATAAATCTTAAATACTTAGTTATCCATAGATCGGTTATGGTTATTGAGTTAACAGCTGAAAGTGCATTTTGGTAATTTTGTTTGCAGATAACTTGATTGTCAGCTCATGTGTAATGTAAACGCAAAATATGCTAGTTAACCCAGCTCAAAGACTCGAAGGGCAACATAGAACAAAGCCAGCCTAAAAGTATGTGTAACTTTTTCAAATCTAATGTTTATCTGACCAGATAACTTGTTTGTGGAGAAAACAACAAAAACAAAGAGTATAACAAGTCGATCTCGTCTTTCCAAAGCAGCTACAAGATCTTGGATTATGCTAAATTTTTGATATGTAATGATTCTCTGGCCCCAAGGCTCATCTCCGGCGGATACAATCCTTTTCGGTAAATCAGTTACCGACATCTGCAAAAAACTCCAACCAACAAAATGAAATCAAAATCCTTTAATCAAAGATAAACAGAATATAGGTGGTGCTAGTCATATTACCTTCAATGCGGCTTGACTTTCTGAATTTCCTCTGACAAATCAATATTATGCACAAATTTATGCTCGCTGGCGACACTAAAAATCGATAGGGGTTTTTTTTAGAGAACAGATACAATGCCAGTTTATTCTTTAGTATAAAAATCATATGCTCTTACCCCAACTAAAAAAATTTAATTTTTAAAAATTAAAAATCTCCAAGAATTGGATATTGTTGTCGTGCGAATTGACACACACAACAGATATTGGGCCCATCTCATAACAAAAAGAGATATGAATGCATATTTGAATAGGGGTTTGTATGTCTTTTTATCATGAACAGTTTACATGAACAGTATAGGTTTTTAAGGAATTAATTTTCATAATTTCTATAGGCATTTGGTGCAATTATAAATCTATTACAAATAGTGGTCACCCAATCTTAAATTACATTTAACAAATATGATTGTGATAAAACAACCCTAGAGAAAAAAAAATAATAACCTTAGAGAACAACACCTCTGCGATACAATTCTTTCCACAACATACGAAACCACGATAGACGATTTTACTTCCATCACTCTGGAACTTCTAATAAGTTTTGTTTTCATTAATCTATAGAAATTGCATTATGAATTAATCCTTAGATTTGGTATAAAAAATATTTAAAATTTTGACCACTAAACAAAAACTTTCCACATGCAAGTTTTAAATTATATATGATATTAATAGTACCAAATCATGATTATAGTTACGTTTGTCTCTGTTTGTCATATCTACAAAACATCTTAAATCCTGCAAATTATTTATTCATTTACTAATGAGCGTCTTATAAGTTATAATAATGGTACGTTGGTTACACCATCAAAATTCCTTAAATTCGGAAATATTATATATATATATATATATGATAAGATGTACCAAGCTTTTATTGTTTTGTTATCTAAAGCCCATGCTCACCAATGATCACCATTGCCAATGTGTTATAATTGTATCTCATTTCATTACACATGTTCGTAGATCTTCTCTTTTCTCAAAAAAAAAGTAATACTATAAAATACTAGTGTTTGCAGAACGTAGGCAGATGCATTGTATTTCTTATCGTTAGAATTATAGAATTTTGGTTCATCTTTTATTTTTTTAATAGGAGAATTCCAAACCGAACCACACACTAATTATCCGAGAGGTCTGTAAAAAATTTAGGTTTTCTTGGTCACTAAAAATGTCTACATATAGTAAAAAGATTGAAATTACTCTACGAAGACTAAAAAGTGGGTTGGAAATGTCCTAAAAACTCTAAAAAAAAAAAGAAAATTCCGAAAATTGTTATTAGTTATCTTAGAGTTTACATTTTTTTTGGCTATAAAAGTATCTTAAGTTATCATACATCAGATTACTATCTTCCAAATAATAAGATTATCATTTTCAGTATAATTTAGACTTGAAACTTGATGGTTTGTATTGATGATTATGTAGAGTCATAATCCGAATTCAATTTTTTAGTGTGCATATCTGAAAAATGCTAATATCCAGTGCCGTGCGAAAGTTTATAGGAGTTTAAGGCAAAATAAAAAAATAGAATTTTTTAACAAAAAATATAATATAAATTTAAAACTATATAAAATATTCAAAATAAAAATTTAAATCTAAAAAAAACTAAAACATAATCTTTTTTCCTTGTTTTCTAATAAACTCTTTCACCAAACTCTCATAATCAAAGTTTCTAACTAGTTCTCATTCTATAGCTATAATAGTTAGATCATTCAATCATTTTTCTTCTTTTTTGCTCCATTTGAATACGTTTTTGGAGGTATCTTTTCTAATATCAATGATGAAAATAAATAATATAGCAAATAAACACGCTCATAAAAAAATTTGTAGAATAATAAGCTGAAATAAAAGAATAAAAAAATGGTGAAGTAAATATGTCTTAGAAAGTTTGAGGAAGGCGATAACCTAAATAAATCTTAGTCAATTTTCTCAACATATTCCCCCAATTTAATTTACAAAAGTTAAATTTCCTAAACATATTCCCCCATTTATATTTTTATCAACAAAAAAAATTGAACTCAGAAACCTTGAATCACATCACTCATACTAACCACATATTATAAAAAGAGGACCCTGAAAACTTTATAGATTCTTTGGGGCTTGAAGCAAAAGCCTTTTTCATTACACTATAAGCATAATATCTCCAATAGTTATAAACTTATTTTGTTGGGATTTCGCTGCGCTAGCTATAAATATCGATATGCTTATAAAGAAAGAAGACTCGTATCAAAATTATGTCTGAGTGTCTATCTACTGTTACGGCAGTTTATTAGAGTGAACATAAAACGATGAATTAAATAAATAAAAAACACAAAACGTTGAAAGTGATTGCTCAACTATAGACTACTAGTAATTTCTACAATCCTGATCAGTTAACAGCCTGAAGCACAAATTTATAAAATTCATTCTTTTGTGAGATTTTCATTAAGGATTCATTAAATGGGCTTTTAGTTCGCATATCCAAATGATCCAAAAAATATGCTTGGGAAATAACTTCATTAGTTCGCATATCGATGTTTCGTCTTTTTTTTTATATATTTATTTGTCGACGATACTTCGTTAATCTGCACGTTAATATTACAAATATGAAATATGATAACCAATGTAACGTGCAAGTCTAATCTCATGACACACTCACGGACTGCGTCCTGATCTGATTTTGACGTCAGTTAGCATTTAACAATAGACATACTCATTACATAATATTTTACGTTAAGAATATTTACATGAAACATTTTTTCTTGGCAAATTATTATTGCAAAGCTTGGCCTCAACGCAATAACTACTCACATCCATAGGCTTTAGAGAAACCTTTATTAAACTAACATAAACATAAACATCAACATCATTCATTCATTCTTGTCTAAAAAGCCCCAAAAACGGTTACATTCTTTTTGTCAAAACATTCTAAGAAGACCTAAACTATTAGTTTACCAAAAAAAACTAAAACTATTATGATAAAAAAAAATGACTAGCTAGAGAGAGATAGAGAAAGACATTTAAACAAATGGTCATGGGAAAATTCAAATCAGAATGATATACTAAAAAACTTTCAAAAAGATTCAATCATGGAACCAAAATATTTTAAAACAAAAATCACAATCCTTTAATAGACAAGGTCAAAGCTTATCATTCACTTAAACAAATACTTAGGTCAAATTTCAGACTTGCTTGCAAAACATAATAAAGTAAGCAGCCAATGTTATATATTAAACGCAGAACAGAGGAAATCAGAGAACCTGAAGAAAGAAAAAAGAGATCTAAGTCTTGATTAATATGGAGATTAACGTTGATGAAGAAGCTGGGATCAAAGGTTCTTGTCACATGATCAATGAAGAGAAAGTTCCACTCCTGGAGGAGGATCAGATTCGAGTTCAAACTCGAGACTTTCCTTCAATAGAAAGGAACACTTGGATACAAAAGGCAATAGGTCAGACATTTCAAACGACAGCTCATCTAGCTAATCTCTTACCAACAGGGACAGTCTTGCATACCAGATCCTATCGCCGATTTTCACAAACGCTGGACGCTGCAGTTTAGCTAGCAGATTCATGACCGCATCGCTAGTTTTCATATGCGGATTCTCCTGTTTCATACTTATTAGTTTCACAGATTCTTACAAGGACTTGAATGGAAATGTTTGCTATGGGTTTGCTACAATCCAGGGCTTCCGTATAATCGATGGCTCAGCTGTTCTTCCTCAAGAACGTTCCAAAACCTATAGCTTACGGTTTATAGACTTCGTACACGCCACTATGTCATTTCTTGTGTTTGGAGCTATTAAGAGATATTAGGCTTATTGGGCCTTGTATAGTTAGTTATTAGAATTATTAGAGTAATTTGTCCCACATTGCTAGTTTCTAACTTAAAGTTGACTAATGTACTTGTATATATATGTGCCTTTAGGCTGATGAATAAATCACTTCCGCAAATTACTTTGACATGGTATCAGAGCCTAAGACTACATAAAGTTTTGGTCTAGCTCTTGAATCAGAGCCTAAGGCTACATAAAGTTTTAATCTAGCTATTGATTCAAATTCTTGTTTATAAGTTGTGGTTTATTGGAAAAAGCAAACCGACGAGGTCTTGCTCTTTTGTTTTTGGTGAACTCGGACCGACGAGGTTCGGGATTTCTGTAGAGCCATAAGGGGTTGGGATTTCTTTATTCGGTGGAAAACCTGGGGAATTTCTCTTTTTTTTTATAGAAAATATGAGATTTCAGAGTCGAAGAATTAAGTGTTCTTATTGTTCGAAGTATGGTCATGATGTGAGATCATGTTATCAGGTATATGGATATCCATATTGGTGGATGGAAAAGTATGGAAAACCTACGGAACATGTGTCACACACTGAAAAATGTGCGTCACATACGGAGGCGTCACAGGTTGATCCTCAAGCTGTGACAGGGCTCAAGAAAGATCAATGGCATAAGCTTGTTCGATGGTTTGATTCGAGATTAGAGATAGCAAATCCTGTGAGTGATAACACCTATACAGATGAGTGGATTATTGATAGTGGTGCATCGCACCATATGACGGGTACGTTAAGTGGTATGTTTGATGTGCATAAAGTCTCACCATGTTTAGTGGGCCTGCCTAATGGAAATGTTGTGGTTGCTGATAGAGAAGGAAGTGTGGCATTGACGGAGAAGTTAACTTTGACACATGTGCTTATTGTCAAGGAACTCAAGTGCAATCTCATTTATGTGTCACAGATTATTGATGCAATGAATTGCATTGTGTTGTTCTCCAAGCAAATGTGTCAGATACAGGATCTTGCTTTGCAAATTCTGATTGCAGTGGGTGAAAGAAAAGATGGATTGTATTTTCTTCAAGGTATTCAGAAGACCGTGAATGTGGCGAAGGTCAGTAAGTTGGGGTCTTTGGAACTTTGGCATAAAAGGATGGGACATGCTTCTGAAACGGTTATTAGGAGATTGCCATAAGTGGATCAAAAGAGTGTTAGTGTTTCTGATTGCGATGTCTGTTTTCGAGCAAAGCAGTGTCGGAATGTATTTCCCGTGAGTACAGAGAAAAGCAAAGAATGCTTTGAGATGATTCATTGTGATTTGTGGGGGCCATATCGAACACAGAGCGTGTGTGGATCCTCTTATTTTTTAACTATCGTGGATGATTATTCTAGAGCTGTGTGAGTTTTTCTTCTTGCTGATAAAACACAAGTTCAGAAAACAATGGTAGATTTATTTGCTCTCATTCAGCGTCAGTTTGAGAAACATGTAAAAATCGTGCGAAGTGATAATGGTAGTGAATTCATGGGTATGAAGGAGTATTTTCGTACATCAGGGATAATTCATCAAACTTCGTGTGTGGGAACTCCTCAACAAAATGGTAGAGTGGAGCGAAAACATCAATATATATTGAATGTCGCACGAGCGTTGAGGTTTCAGGCAAATTTACCAATAGAAATTTGGAGTTATTGTGCTTTGAGTGCTGCGTATCTAATCAATCGTACGCCTTCTGTGTTACACAATGGTAAGAGTCCTTATGAAATCATCTTTGGAAAATCTCCTGCTTATAGTGAGATACGAGTTTTTGGATGTTTAGCGTATGCTCACAATCAGAAACGTCATGGAGATAAATTTGCGAGTAGAAGCAGAAAATGTGTATTTTTGGGATACCCTTATGCAAAGAAGGGATGGAACTTATTTTACTTGGAGACACATGAAATCTTTGTTTCTCGGGATGTCACTTTTATTGAGGAACGATTCCCATATTTGGAGCTAAAAAATGCACAGGTGGATGAGCCTTCTAATTCTAATCAAATGAGGCTATATGTGGATGATAATGTTGGATTTGACGATATAGAACCTGCCTTGACAAGGGAAATTATACAACCTCTCACAAGAGATACAATGACACAGACTCAGGTTGTGTCAGACAAGGTTGCAGAAGAAGAAAGACAGACTATAGGAAATGAAATACGCGATATCTTAGGAATTACAGCGCCACAAACTGAACCTGCATCGGTTACACAGTCTGAGATTGTGCAACCTGCTTTAGTGACAGAACCTGCAGCGGTTACACAGTTTGAGAATGTGCAGCCTGCTTTAGTAACAGAACCTGCATCGGTGACACAGGCTGAAACTGTGCAACAGCCTGCATCAACAGAAACTTTGGGACGAGGAATGAGAAAGAAAGAATCTTCTGTCAAGCTACGCGACTATGTGTGCAATACGACATTTACAATGAACCTCCATTGTGAGTCAGGAGTTGAGTAATGATTATGGTATTGAGAATTATGTGAATTGTGAAAGGTTCTCTGTGTCACACAAGACATTTCTGTGTAGTATAACTGAATGAGTTGTGCCGAAAAGTTTTACTGAAGCCATGAAGGATCCGTGATGGAGAGAAGCTATGAGACTTGAGATTGAGGCCCAAGAATGAAATTAAACATGGTTGATTGAACAATTACCACCAGGTAAGCATGTGATTGAGTGTAAATGGGTTTATACAATTAAGTATAATGCAGATGGCTCCATTGAAAGGTATAAGGCGTGACTCGTGGCATGTGGCAATCGTCAAAAAGAAGGGATTGATTATTCTGATACATTTGCTCCTGTAGCAAAGATGAGCACAGTTCGATTGGTTCTTCAAGTTGCAGCTGGGAAAAATTGGGAGCTACATCAGATGGATGTGCACAATGCGTTTCTTCATGGAGATTTGGATGAAGAGGTCTTTATGAAGGTACCTCAGGGTTTTAGTGCTTCTAAAAAGGGTATGGTATGTTGTTTGCGCAAGTCGCTGTATGGTTTGAAACAAGCTCCACGATGTTGGTTCGCGAAACTTTCGAAGGCACTTTTGGGGTACGGTTTTACACAGAGTAAGGCTGATTACTCTCTTTTCTCATTAGTTCGTGATAAAGTTCACTTGCACGTTCTAGTGTATGTGGATGATCTTGTGGTGACAGGAAGCTCTCCTGAGGTGATACAAAATTTTAAAACATATTTAAGCAATTGCTTTCATATGAAGGATTTGGAAAAATTGAAATATTTTCTTGGATTGGAAGTTGCAAGAAATGCAGAGGGTATATACTTATCACAGAGAAAGTATGCTCTGGATATTATTGCTGATGTCGGTTTGCTTGGTGGTAGGCCTGTAGAGTTTCCGATGGAGCAAAATCATCAGTTGGGAAGGTCGACGACAAAGATTTTGACTGATCCAGAGAAGTATCGGAGACTGGTTGGAAGGTTGATTTACTTGGCTGCGACAAGACCAGATCTTGCCTACTCAGTTCACATCTTATCTCAATTTATGAATGAGCCAAGAGAAGATCATTGGATGGCTGCATTGAGAGTTGTTCGTTACTTGAAAGAGTGCCCGGAAATGGGAATTTTGTTGAAATCTGATTGTAATTTTCATCTTACAGCTTGGTGTGATTCAGATTGGGATGGATGTCCAATCACGAGGAGATCTTTGAGTGGATGGTTGATACAATTGGGAAATTCTCCTGTGTCATGGAAGTCAAAGAAGCAAGATGTTGTATCATGCTCTTCAACTGAAGCAGAGTATCGAGCTATGGTTGGGCATTGAAGGAGTTGAAGTGGTTAAAGAGTGTGTTGTTAACGATGGGTATTGCACATTCGATCCAATGGATTTATATTATGACAGCCAGTCTGCGCTTCATATTGCAGCTAATCCTGTGTTTCATGAGAGAACGAAGCATGTGGAGATTGATTGTCATTTCATTCGAGACGATATACAGGCTGGAATTGTTCAGACCCAACATGTTTTTACTACTCAACAGTTGGCGGATATCTTCACTAAAGCACTTGGAAGACGTCCGTTCAAAGGAATTTTGTGCAAGTTGGGCATTCGAGATCTCCATGCTCCAACTTGAGGGGGGTATTAAGAGATATTAGGCTTATTGGGCCTTTGTATAGTTAATTATTAGAATTATTAGAGTAATTTGTCTCACATTGCTAGTTTCTAACTTAAAGTTGACTAATGTACTTGTATATATATGTGCCTTTAGGCTGATGAATAAATCACTTCCGCGAATTACTTTGACAGGAGCCGTGGTTCTGTTTGATCAGAATGCGGTTAAGTGTTTCTTCCCCGAACCATCATATGAAGAAGTCCAGATTCTCACAGCTTTGCCTGTAGCCATAGTAGTGTTTTGCAGTATGTTGTTTGCTAAATTTCCTACAAAACGCCATGGTATCGGTTTTCCACTCTCTGCTAAATGATGTTCTGCTTAAAAATGTAAAAGTTCTTGTAACTCTTTTAGGTTTCTGAAACTCTCTGTTGTATGTCTTAAATAAAATATCCCAATGTTTGTGTAGATTGTTGCATCCGACATGCTCATGAATCATTTCAGCTGTTTTCAGTTAAAACGAATTACACTACGATTACATTCATTCTGATAGAAAATTCCTTAAAACAAAAAGACAAAACGTTTCTGATGAAAAAGAAATGACATTGAGACAAACTGTTACGGAAATTCAAATCAGAATCACATTACCAGAGTTTTAACAAAGATTCAGTTACGGAACCAACAATTCTTCTTAAAAGACTATACCAATAATAACAATCCAAAATCATTTGTATTTATATTTATTCGGTTTATTTTTTGAGATGTAAGAAAAATACATTACAAAAAAGAAAAAGAAAAAGCAATAACTTAGATTAAATATGAAAAAAACTATAAAAGAATATATGAAATGCTGGAGCAGCAAATCAAATGCCGACAGAAAAACCAGTAATCATAGGAAAATATAGTAAAAATTTGTTTTTGCATATCCATACATAAGAATTATATTTTTAAAAAAGGAATGTTTTTTTTACACAGAGAACAAAAAAAAAAGATAAAGTTACTTTCTTGTGACTGTCACGTTTATAACGTTTAGAATTTTCAGACCACTCAATGGTAAGGTACGATTCCTTAACAAGCCATCCACTTCAAGATAAGATGGTCCTTACAGTCATAAAATCTACCCAAACCTTAAAAAATTATTGGATGATGTATTTTTTACACACAACCTATAATCCTTTGAATAGGCAACAAAATTAAATCACTTAAACAAGTACTTAGGTTTGCTTGCAATGCATAATAAAGGAAGCAGCCACAGTTATATTAATATACTCAACCATTTGCCGGAAACAGAGAAATAAAAAAGCACCTAGAAAAAGAAAGAGAGTTGGATCTTGAGTGTTATGGCGACCAAGGTTGATGAAGAAGCTGGGATCAAGGAAGAGAAAGTTCCACTCTTGAAGGCTCAAGAGTTTCCTGATATAGAAAGGAACACTTTGATACACAAGGTAATAGGTCAGACATTTAAGACCACAGCTCATCTAGCTAACCTTTTACCTACAGGGACAGTTCTAGCCTACCAGGTCTTATCACCGATTTTCACAAACGGTGGACGCTGCGATCTAGCTAGCAGATTCATGACAGAAATGCTAGTTTTCATCTGCGGATTCTCTTGTTTCATACTTAGCTTCACTGATTCCTACAAGGACCTGAATGGAAATGTCTGCTATGGGTTTGCCACAACCAATGGTTTCTGGATAATCGATGGCAAAGCTGATCTTCCTCGAGAAAGTTCCAAAAGCTACAGACTACGGTTCATAGACTTCGCACATGCCATTATGTCGTTTCTGGTGTTTGGAGCCGTGGTTCTGTTTGATCAAAATGTGGTCAACTGTTTCTTCCCCAACCCATCAGCTGAAGTCTCGGAGCTTGTCACATCTTTGCCCGTAGCCGTAGGAGTCTTTTGCAGCCTGATGTTTGCTACATTTCCTACTAAACGCCATGGTATCGGTTTTCCCCTCTCTGCTAAGTGCTAAATGTCTAAATGATGTTCAAATTCTCATAAAGCTTTTGGAATCTGAAATTCTCTGTTGTATCTTGTCTTTACCAATCTTCTGAGATGATCTCTTTAATAAAATATTCTTCATCTAATCTTCCTTGTATTTAGATCTCCAAATCTCTGAGAAGAGTTTCTGAAGCTTCTCCTACAATCGTTTTATCCAATGTGTGACCTATTAGTAGCTTCCATGTTCCTTTATTTGGCACGCACCCATCAGCCACTATCTCGTTAACTAATTGAACAGCTTTCTGAAACTCACCCTTTTTACACAAACACTTCACCAAAGAGTCTAGTGTTTCAACCTCCACCGAGATGCCTCTACTCCTCATGCTTAGATAAAGAGTATATGCGCGACTTGGATGATTTGTACAAAGACCTCGGACTACTACATTACTTGTCTTAACATGGATGTTCCAAGTTAAACGATTTGGAGTTATTCCCCCAAGAATCATCTCGTCAAGGAAATTGGCAGCTTCAGGAAACTTACTGACAGCACAGAACCCACTGATTACTTTCCCATATAATCCAACATCGGGTTTCAAACCCTGAAGATTCATTCTATCGAGAAGTTCAACGGCTTCTTGAATCTTCTGCTCCTTACATAGACCGTTGATCAAAGTGCTATAGGTTACCATGTTTGGCCTGCAGCCTCTAGCCATCATCATCTCAAATAATTCCATGGCTTGCAAAGGACGTCCATCTTTGCAAAGACCGTCCATCAAAGAACTATAAGTGAAAACATTCGGCTCGATGCCTCTACTTTTCATCTCTTCTAGATATCTTATTCCTTCGTCAACATTTTTCGATCCACACAAACCGTGAATCATAGAGGTATAGGTAACAACAGTTGGCGCACAGTCTTTTTCAACCATCTCCTTAAATAACTTCTTCGCCTCATCTATCCTTCCAAATCGACACAAACCACTAATCAAGGTTCCATACGTGTAGGAATCCGGATCACACCCTCGTTTAGGCATTTCATGAAATATCTTAAGACCAGCATCCACTGTCCCTTCATTTCTGCAGAGGGCTTTGATCAAAACATTGAGAGATGCAACGTTAGGAGGCAAACCCATCTCTCTCATGTTCTTGTAAAACTTAAAGGCCAATTTTAACTGATTCTCTTCCACGAGAATAGCAAGAACAGTGACGTAGGACTTCTGGCTAGGATCACAATCAAAATCCTTCATTTTGTGAAAAACCCTTAAAGAATCAAACGGCCTATGAACCCGTCCATACCCTCTGCATATCGAAAGCAATATCTCTTCACTAACAACGCAATTCTCAATCTTCATTCTTGCAACCAGATCCTCAGCTGCTAAGAATTTATTGGCAGAGACCAACCTCGAGACCATGTAACCAAAAGAGCTCTGATCATGTAAGAACCCGTTTGCATATTCTGCTGTCGCGGAATCAAAAACCGCAATCAACTTCTCCACGTCTTTTTCAGCTCTCATCAGTTTGATAACCTGTGAAGGCGTGATAGTTTTTGACCACTTGAACATCTTCTCTTTGCTACCCATTTATTATGCCAAAAAATGACGCCTTTCTACAAGAAGTGAATAATAAAAAACGATTATAGAGAGACAATCGCAAAATCTCTGCTACGCATTAAGTCGAACAGTTTGTGCGCATTAACGCTTCTACAAGCCTCAAACGAAAAACCCATAAAAACAAAGGCAAGATAAATCATTCGATCATCAAATCTTACGAATAGAGAGAGCAATCAACAGGTAAATACGACGATCTCACTAACAATTTTTCTCGTCTGTCTATGAAAATTACGCGGGTTAATACAAAACACTTCTCTGACTTAAATATAAACCTTCTCCGTAACTCACCAGGATCGAATCGAACGAAGCAGCAATGAACTCGTTAAACGAGCTAGAGGATGAATCCAATCGCCGGAGAAGAATCGATAACCAGTTTAGCGACTTTGATGAAGGTTTATAGGAGGACGGTAAACAAAAACACGGCGGGCATTTCTTATGAGAGTCTCTTGATGACTTAGAGGGTCTCTTCTCTACTCCGCAACATAATAAATTAATCAAATTTAAAACAAAATCTATTATTTATTGTATGTATTTTCAAATTTAGGATTACTAAACACCCACAATGGATTATATGTTGTCATTTGATTTTGTACTATTTTTTTTTTTTCTGTATCAATTTGAAAATATTCTACAAATTATAATCCAGGAACCATTACTTTTAGTTATTATAGTTGTTGGATTTGGAAAGAAAATACAAAAAATTATCACAAAAAGAGTAACTAATTTGGTTAAAGATTTTTAAAATCTAGAAAAGTTATGAAGCACTAAAACTGCAAATCAAATGCCGACATATAGCCAATAAAAATAAGGAAATTAACAGAAATATTCATACCTTTAAACCAAGTAATTTTTCTAAAAATCTACTTTCTTGTGACTGTCACGTTCAGTAATTTGAAGACCACTCAACTCAAGTAAATAAGAGAAAAAATATCTACAAAAATGTACAATACTGTTTATCTTCAAAATGAAAAAGAACAAAAAAAAAATTATACGAAACAGATGATATGATGATATGGAAATTCGATTGGCTAAGACTCACTGTGTCTCTTAAGCCATCCACTTCAAGATAAGATGGACCCTACAGTCATCCAATCTAAGCCAATATCTTCCGATTCTTATCTAATCTCATCATTCCTCACCGTTGGATCATATTACACGATCGATCCCACTGTATCACCATAGACCGCAATACACTTGATTGAGATAATCAAAATCATCGTAGCCGTCCGATCACCAAGTATCCACTCTTGAAATACGCGAAAACCTCATATTTCGCTTCCTTCCCTCTCACTGTCACACAAAAATCATCTAAAAACCACTGAAGATGGAGTCACGCGTGCTGCTACGCGCCACCGCAACAGTCGCCGGAAATCCTCAATTGAGGCGACCAATCGGAGCGATCCACCGTCAATTCAGCACCGCGACGTCGTCGTTCACGGCTTTCGCTAAACCGATCGGAGCAATCGGGGAGGGAGGGAATCTGATCTCCGGTCGTCAGCTCCGTCCGATTCTCCTTCTCGATAGCTCGCCGGAGAAAAGAGAGATTCTCAAGCCGGTCAGAGCCGCCGCCGCAGAAGGTGGAGATTCCGCTGGGTAAGAGGTCCGTTTCTGGCTCACTCGGTGTTGACTCGTTTGACTCGGTGATCTGACTCGTTTTTTGTTCCGCAGAGAAACGAAAGTTGGATTTCTCGGGAAGTATCCGTGGCTCATCACCGGTTTCTTCTTCTTCATGTGGTGAGTGTGTCCCCTCACGATCTTATTAACTAACCTGCGCACGTGATGATGCGCACTATAGCAGTTTGCGTGTGATTTTACCGCCAAATTTCGGTGAGTATGAATTTACGGTTTAACCCCTTTTGTTTGGACTTATTATAATTTACACAGGTACTTCTTGAACGTGATTTTCAACATTCTTAACAAGAAGATCTATAATTACTTCCCTTATCCCTAGTAAGTAAACACACTTAATTATAGTTTTACTTTTGACATAAATACATTTACATTTTACACTGGTATCTAGTGTCTTTATCTCCATCAGTTTATTTGTAAATTAAAGTTTTGAGATTCAATTTATTTAAAAAAAATTGATTTATACATGATTCGAACCATATACTGCTGGTCCAATTAAGAATCGAATCCGAATATTGTATCAAGAGAATCCATTTGTCATTTACGAAAAAATGATAAAAAATACTTTTTGTCATTTTCAGTTTCGTGTCTGTTATTCACTTGTTCGTTGGAGTTGTCTACTGCTTGGCAAGCTGGTCCGTGGGCCTTCCTAAACGGGCCGTAAGTTTCTTCTTCATAGCTCACTACACTCTTTGTCAGTTTGTTGCTTTTGAGTTTTAGCTTAGTGTTTTACTTTCACCTTACAAGCAACAGTGTAACTAAAGAACAAAATAATTAAAAAGAAGGCAAAATGTGGGGCGTTCCGAGAATCGAACTCGGGACCTCTCGCACCCAAAGCGAGAATCATACCACTAGACCAAACGCCCAACTGATGAAAATCCTTATTATATTTTAGTTTACCTATTGGTTGTTACTTGGCTCATGTCTAATTTTCTGAATGATTCAATGGTTGCAGCCAATTGACTCGAAACTCCTCAAGGTATTGATACCAGTTGCAGTCTGTCACGCCTTAGGCCATGTCACTAGCAACGTTTCCTTCGCTGCTGTTGCCGTCTCCTTCACTCACACCATCAAAGGTACTCAATTTTTCTTTCAAAAAACATTTGATATACAACTATATTGTACATACAACATTTTATTTCATTTCATTGAATCAAAATCCTAAGCATTTATGTCCTTGCCTATAAATGCAGCGCTTGAGCCATTCTTCAATGCGGCTGCTTCTCAATTCATTCTCGGACAATCCATCCCCGGAACACTATGGTTGTCTCTAGCTCCTGTTGTTCTCGGTAACCACAATGATCATTTCAAACTCATTTCTCATATTCTTATGTTTCTTGTTTTCTAAGTTTTCTTGGATTAACCTTTAAGAAAATCGCAGGAGTTGCAATGGCTTCGCTAACCGAGCTATCGTTCAACTGGCTTGGTTTCATCAGTGCGATGATCTCAAACATCTCTTTCACTTACCGAAGCATCTTCTCCAAGAAAGCCATGGTTCTTGATCCTTTTCTTCACGCTACTAATTAAGTTTTTCAAGTACCAATTTTGTAAACCTGATTTTGCTTTTTTTTTTTTTGTTTTGTTCGTCTGATTTTTCAGACTGATATGGACAGTACAAATGTTTACGCTTACATCTCCATCATCGCTCTCTTCGTCTGCATTCCTCCTGCCATCATCGTTAAGTCTTTTTAAAATTCACTCATAGCATTTCTCACTAGTTACGTGTGGTAGAAGCAATATTATTTATTAGGGTTTTTTGTTGGTTATCTTATGGTTAGGTTGAAGGGCCTCAACTGTTGAAACACGGTTTCAGCGACGCGATTGCTAAAGTCGGTATGACTAAATTCATCTCTGATCTCTTCTGGGTTGGTATGTTTTACCATCTCTACAATCAGGTAATATGAACTCAAATTTTCAATGTTTTTAATCTTTGACCTTAAAACGACGTGCGTTTATAAAGGAAAAGTAAAACCTAAGAAAACCGCGGTTGCAGTTGGCTACTAATACATTGGAGAGGGTCGCACCGCTGACTCACGCGGTTGGAAACGTTCTGAAACGTGTGTTCGTGATCGGTTTCTCCATCGTTATCTTCGGTAACAGATTTACAACTCTCTTTTTATTTTTCATGTTTCCGTAGTTAAATCTATCTCGAACTATATATATTTATTTGAAGGTGGTCACAAATGAGAAAACTAATGTATTTTTTTTTAAATGATTATGTTATCTGCAGGAAACAAGATATCGACACAGACAGGTATAGGAACTGGAATAGCCATTGCTGGAGTTGCTATGTACTCTATCATTAAGGCCAAGATCGAAGAAGAGAAACGGGTCAGTTCATATTCATACTCTTTTTCTTAAAATGAAAAATTAACAAAAGTACAAATATATAAAAAAATGAGGAAAAGATGATTAATGTTAGAAATGTATTTTTTTAAAATTTTTTAAACTTCAGAAAGGAAAGACGGCATAGAGAACCGGAGGCAGACGGCGGTCGACGGGTGCATAAACATTTCCTCCGATAAATGTTTTATATAATAAATAACCAAAATGCAATAGTATGTTGTATTTGTACCATCAACCATTGTTTTCGAGTTTTTCCTCTTTCTTTTTTTCACTTTCATAAAAGCTATATATAATTTTTTATTCTGCTTCTTTTGTTTTTAATGGAGAACATTTCCATTACTTCTGATATGCAATTATCTTGACGGATAAAGAGCATAATAATGTATTTATTCAATCTTTTCATCGTCGTAAAAGAGTATAATAATGTATTTATACACCTTTTTTTTTTGTTACCAATACTCTTTCATTAAAGTTAAAATCAACAATATCCCTAGCTTGTGAGAGCTAGAAAGACCGGGTTGTTGACTCTGTAAGTCTGTAGCCTATCTTAGATTCTTAGTCAACTGATCTTTTGGTTTGAAAATTAATTGAAATGACTGCAAATTGCAAATGGACAAATGAGGAAGACTGTGATAATTAATTACAGCCGTTTTTGTAAATACATTAATTTAAGATAATCCAATTTGATGACTTTTTCAAATTGAAATTCTCTAAAAGCGTGTAACATACTTTCGGTGGTCGATCATTCGAATTGCTTTTGCGCAAATCAAGCAATCAAACTAATTAAACTCGTTAGTCTCTTTCCGTTGCTTTCTCATCATTATGATTTTTTTTTTGTCAACTCATCATGTTTTTTTTACCAAACGTTTGGTAATGTATCAGTATGACTAACGTCTAACTATGCTGCATAATTAACTCGACCAAACGTTTGGTAATTTATATATATGTGTATATAGACCAACATAAACCACAAAAAAATGGTTCAATTACGAAACCTTCTCTGTTTCACCTTCTTCATCATATCTTTCTTGCTAACGCAAACACAGCCAAGAAACCGCCAAACATTAACCGAACTAATCGATCAAAACGAGATGTCACCAGTGCCGGAGAATCACGGGAGCACAACGGATGAGGAAGAAGAGCAAGAGCCAGTCTTTATCCGAGATACAGGACATGGTTATGGTCTCTATGGTCGTCATGCGAGTCACACCAACAATGAAGAAGATAACTCAAACGAGAACGAGGACAACGATCAATTCTACTATAGAAGCGACGCTTTTGGAAACCGAAATGGTAGATTCTAAGTAAAGATATTGAGATTTGTTTGTTTTTTGGATGATTTGGAATTTCTATTTCGTATTTTGGATGATTTGGGGATTTTTTTGTTTGTTTTAGTTATCTGCTTGGATTGGCAGCCCTAAAAATGACACAAAGATTCCAAGTTCTGTTTTTACGAATCTCATTATTTTAGAGACTTTTGTTATTGTATTGAAAAAAAAAACTCACAATTGTTCAATGGTTGGACATTCATCATGTGAGTCGAAGATAGGGTTCGAATTACTTTGATTTTAATCATGGCTAACCACTTTAAAAATGTTAAATACATAATGAAAGATTAGTATTGACTTTGCAGCGCGAATCTTCTAATTATGCTGTATAGAAACTCTGTCATCAAACTATCTTGCAAGCAAATTGTGTTTTTTTTTTTCTTTTCATAGTAGTAATGTTGTCGTTCCATATTTTTTTTTTTAATTTTTATTCTACAAACTATAACTATTATATAGTATGAATGGAAATGAAAACATCCAAAGAGATATTGATTGCAGATATATTGATTAATTTTAAGGTGGATGAAAACTGTTGATATGCTTTGAATCTGATCACATATTGCTTGCGATGGCACCAGGTAGGGTTTCAGATGTCCAGTCAAAAGCAGCAAACACATCAATATATGTTGATGATATGATCAATCTGATCACATAATGATGCAGATAAATATTTGGAAATATTCCAAATATTTTAATTATTTATTTTATTATTAAAATAATTTCCTTTTATTGTTTTAAGGTTTTCGAGTATTTTAGATTTGTTATAAATAAGCCGTTTAGATCTAAGTTGTATTTAGTTTTTGATGAATTAATGAAATTGAGTTTTTGTCTCTTTGTTCCTTGTTTTTGGTAGATCTAAAGAGATCTCAACGAATCTAAGAAGGCTTGATTTATTCGGATATTCTCAGACTAAATGAATAATCTCGCGATTATCATAGTTTTCCGGGTATTCTCAGAATCAACGGATCACTATTTTATCTTTTTAAAGTTTCCGCTACATCACATAAGTAAAGATATTGCTTATTTTTACAACACAATGGCAAAACTTTAGCAAAGAATGTTCGCTTATGTTTTCAGTTGCTTATAATATCGTGAAATACTGAAATCACTTGTATAAAGGTTGAGTAGTTGACAAAAAAAAAAGTAACAGTTAAAAAAAGGTAATTTAAATTACCTCGTTGTATGCAAACACAAACCAAGCCGAACCAAACGATTTGTATTGACATTAGAAAGTAGTGAAGAGGACAGAGAACCAAATCGAACTCTAGAATCCAAGCATCCAGAAACGGAACTTTTCTTCAGCCCAGCCACTTGGGCCAGGTCCGATTTGGTGACACTTTTTTTTTTTTTTTTTTTTTAACTATTTGACTGTAATAGTGTCATTGTTTTCTTCTTTGATAATTAATCAGGATGATCCAGAGTACAGTGACAACTATTTTTCCAAAGTGCGTATAGTAGCATACTCGCCAGATTTTCTAATCGATATAAAAAATGACATTATTTCAACTGTTTACATAGGAGATGTTAGATAATTCACACTTTTTGGAGAATCGATCCTAGACCAACATAGAAACTCGTACACAAATGAGAATCACTAATTAAACACTACCACTTAGTTAATTGTTAGTTTGCGATGATTTGATTATTATTTTTAATCACCATTAGAATCACTAGACCATTATCACTGGTTAAATTTAGTATGTAATATATGATTTATAAGTTGAAAAAGTATGCAATACATAGAGTTTCAAGTTTAAAGGCTGGAAAAACTATGATTGTAATCTGTGAAAAAATCAAGTTTAAAAATGTAAAATTCTCTATTTATATCTGAAAAAATTGAAAAAAATGAAAGCAAAAAAAAAATTAGCATTCTTTTTTATTGATTCTCCTCTGCATTAACTGGTCAAATTTCGTATGCAATACATATTGTAGGCGTTTAGCAACAACACATTTTTTTTATAGAACAACAAGTATAATCCTACTACTAATAAATTTATTTATTCTCGAATAAAAACAAAAAGGTAATTTAGATTACCTCACTTGTGAAACGCAGCAGCAACAACAACAACAGTCCAGAGAGAGAGAGAATGTGGTACCAACATAGATTCGAACACCGGTCCTCAGGGTAAGTGGAATCTAAAGTTTAGAAACCAACCACGTGGACCAGATTCGAATTGGTGGTGGCAAATTATTAAAAATTTATTTAACTTCAAACTAGCAAAATCGAAAGAACTATATCGACGTCTATATACTTATTTGTGTAATGATTTGCGTTCACATCAAGTTTCAAAACTTTATGTTTACGTGTCAGTTCCAAAATTAGTTTCGGCTGTAAAAAGATCACTTAGCCATATTTTTCAATTATATGTTATTTTTTATTGGTTTTTATATGATGATGTATAAAATAAACTTAAAAAAAAAACCGGTCTAAATTATTATATTTTAATACTTAATTTCCATGTCAAATTAAACAATTTTTAAAATTTTATAAAACCAAAATTAGAAAAAATAGATATAACAAAAAAGTAAAAAAAAAAAGAATCTGAAAAAAATCATTTCTAACTAATGCAATGTCGTTAAAAAAAAAGGAAATCATCTCTAACTAATGAAATATCGCTTATTTGTATAGTGATTTGCTTAGGTGCTGAGTCCACAACAAGTTTCAGAATGTTTTGCTTATGTGTCATCTCCAAAATGAGTGTCAACTGCAAAAAGACTTTTTAACCCCATTTTAATTACATATTATTTTTTATTGGTTCTTATCTGATGATGTGTTAAAATAACATAAAACAATCCACTCTAAATTATTGTGGTTTAATGCTTCATTCTATTGTCAATCAAATTGTTTCTAAAAATTTATAAAACCCAAATTTAATAAAAATCTAACAAAAAATAAAAATCAATAAATAGTCTAATAGAATGACGGTATTTGTAATGTCTAGATTAGGGTTTTCGACTTCATTGTATAAATATGTACGACTTCTTTCTAATTCTTTCACACCTTTTTAAAATTTTTAATCTCTTTTTTTTCTTCGATTAAGTTTATATAATAATTTAAAAAACTATGTCTAAAATACATAGAACAGTGATCAAAATCGAATAAGTTCATACGGTACTTAAAAAACTACGTCTAAATTATATAGAACAGTGATCAAAATATCTCAAAACTATTTAAACTAAATTATTTAGATACTAATATATTTTATCTATTATCTTTTACATTGTTTTTACGATCATTTCTTCAAACATTAAAATGCAAGAAAATTTAACAAACAAATATATTCAACAATAGAAAATAAAAAACAAATAAAACTACTATTAAATTTTCAAATAATCAAATAAAAAGTTATATCGGGTTGAAAAATTCACTACTTGTTTCTTATTAATTGGCATAACCAGACACGAGATTAACGCTAGTTTTTTTGTTTTAACTTCCACGGTGATTCGTGTTAGTGTCTCATTCTTCCAGTTGATTTTGATTTGGTTTTTAAATAAACAAGGAATTGTACAAACCATTGCCTTAGATTTCGATGAATTTTTTGTCAAACAACTTTTCCCTCGCTCGGAGACCACATAACATCAGAGGAGGTATCCTTTTGTACTTTTTGTTAAATAATTCATATTATCTTTTATTTTGGCAGTATTGTGATTCTTTTTTTTTAATTTCTTACCTAATTTTCTGTTTTTGTCTTCATTTGATTTTCTCTGTAAATTTGAAATTATTTTTGACTTTTCTGAAATTGGTAAATGAGTTATTAATATGCCTTGATTGACTATAATTGTTGTGAGATTTGATATTTCCTTAAATTGGGTTTATAAAATGCTTATATGTATTCCAAGCATCCGCTAGGATTTTCAAGGACAAAAGCATATAGAAGAAACACAAATAATAGAGATAATGGTGAGGACCTATACCTTCCATGTGTTAATGTTAACATTGTTGGTGACTACATCTATATCATCCCAAATTGATGCTGCGTGTGATGCAACACAAATTTCTGAAGATTTGCAATATTGTGGCGAATCTCTGATTCTTGGTTATCCATGGAGTCCTCCATCAAAACTTTGTTGCAGAAATATACAAAGAAACAAGATGAAATGTATATGCCAAAGTGTTACAAAAGTTTTCTTGCAAAACTATGACGTAAATAGGCTTCCCAAACTCTCTCATGCTTGCGGCGACATTTTAGTCCCTGGGTCTTACTGTGGAAGTAAGTGTAATTAAATCTACCTTCTCGACTCTCATCATCTTCTCCTCATATAATCTTTTTTTTTTAATTGATGTTTCAGTTTATAAAGTTCCTGGTGATGCATGAGATCAGAAACCTGCATTGGAATAGTTCAACTCTCTTTCTCATATCTCTATCTAATTCATTAGAATTACTATGTTGAAAAGAGTACTATTTTCATGGTTAAAAATAATGACTAGATATTCTATTATAAATTGGGGTTTTCTTAGTTATTTTGTTTTTATATAAGTGTTCTATTCGAGAACACTCAATTTGGAGAAGGAAAAAAATGGGAATCGTAGTCGCCGGCTTTGGTGGCATCACTGTACTACAGTAGACAACGGCAATGCTTTTTCCTGATCGTCAAATTGCGTCGATGCGTTAAAAAACGAACATACCCAATTTGACCAAAATTACTGGTTTCAGTTGAGAAACATCATTACATTTAGGTTTGGAATTATTATCAGGTATCCGATCTCCGATCCGATATCCGGTCATATCCAATTCAGAAAATCGAATATCCGTGTAATTCGGATCCGAATCCGGATAGTGAAATTAAGTATTCGGTTATTTCGGATACGGATCCGTATAATAAAAATGTTTGAAACCGGGTATTCATTATCCGTTATCCGTTTCTTAAATATTTATTTATTTTTGATAATATTTATTTATTTAAAAAAATTAACTTTAAAATTGTTTTTGGTTTAACTCTTTTACATATGATTGAAATTCATATTGCATGATAATTTTCTATTTCAGATTGTGAGAGAATAACATAAAAATGGATAGCACATGGACATGAAAAAAAATTAACTTCTCTATTACTATTTTCTCTTTTGTTATGTAAACTTTTAAACTTTGTGCTATTTGAATGCTTTTTAATTTTTGCTATTTGTAATTTTTTCTGTGATGATACATTTTAATTATCTATGTTATCTCATTATAATTTTTAAAAATTGAAAAAAAAAAATAAATCAAAGAAACCAGATATCCGGTCGGATATCTGTAAATATTCGGTTCAAACCAGATATCCGGAGTTTTCAGATCCGGATCCGGATAGTAGAATTGATTATCCAGCAGATCCGGATCCGGATTCAGATACCTTGAAAAATCCGGAGCTGGATTCGGATACCTTGAAAAATCCGGATATCTGGTTCCGTTCCACGACTAATTACAATCAATCAATTATGAATGACATATTCTTTATATATTGATTTTTTTTCTCCTAATTTCTTACTCCCTCCGTTTCATAATAAGTGTCGTTTTAGATTTCATTTTTTGTTTCAAAAAGAGTGTCATTTTACATTTTCAATGTAACTTTTTATTTTATTTTCTGTTTTATCCCTCATTTAAAGATAATAGTCTTTGTAATTAAATGTTATAAAAGTAAACTAATTAGGGATATATTTGTGTATTTTATTAATTTATTAATCTGTCTGAAATGTGTCACAATGACACTTATTATGAAACGGAGATAGTATTATTTTCCATTTTTTTTTTATTTTTTTTTCATCGTCATTTTTTCTAACTTCTTTTTTTTTTCAATTTTTACTCTTATTTTTTTGATGAAAAATAATAATTATAAAAAGTATATAAATTAATTAAATAATTTTAGTGTTAGTGTTTTTTTTCTTTTTTAAATTAAAAATAATAATTATTTCAAAATATGTAAATTAAATTGTATCTTTAACTTTAGTTTTTTGTTCTGCTGATAAAAACTCTCTAATTATATAATAGAATAAAGTTGTTTAACTTTGACTAAAATTCTTCTTAACTTTTATAAGTGATAAGGAACATGTTGCTTTTAGAATCAAACTAAAAATAAAATTTTGTTTTGTTTTTTCTAATACCCATACTAAATAATTGGGAATTAAAAATATGTCCACACGATACGAGACGATACCAACATAGATTGAGCAAATAAAAGCAAGAATTTAATACTGTGATGTGTTCTCAAGTTTTTGTAAGATCAGCTGCCTAAGAAGTAACAAGCGATTCTACTTTTTTTTTTTTTTATTAAAAATCAAATCTTGCATGGTATATAGCCTCCTACCCAGTATACTTGAAAACTGAAGTTTTGACACCAAATCACTTGGATCAGATTCGATTGGTGCTACAGTATCCACAAATTGACATAAGTTACTGTTTTTATTAGTAAGGTTGAGATTATTTTTTACTAGTATTATGTATTTACTGTATTCGTATAACGAATCAATGTTCTTAAGGAAATTATGTTTTCAAGTATTGAAGAATCAAGGTAAAGCTATCGAAGATAAAAATCGTTCAATATATACAAACGTGATTAAAGTAAATGCAAAAAAGATAATCCATTTTCATAATATTCTTCAAAAAAAAAAAACATACAACCGGTTTTCTATCAAAGTAGTTTAAAATACTAAGACTTTCAACTGAAACATAAACAAAAGAATATTATTAAACTAATATATAAAAAAAGACACACAACACCATATTAGTGAGGAGTGAGAGAAAATGGATGAGGCCAATAAGGAAATTCATTGGATCTTAATGGGCCTTCCTCTGTGGAGAATAGAGTGCAAATTTGGGTGGTGATATCGTAAACACCATAGTTATGTCCCACGAAATAGATGCAGTTAGCCTTAAGACCTGGAGATGAGCTCGCTGGGACACACAAAGGTTCACCATGTCCAAGAAAGATACAAATATCTCCAATGTTTTCTGTGTAAACCATAGATTTATACTTATTTTCCGTTTCTTTTTCTTTAAACACCATGAATCGCTTTGTTCTGTGCATGACTGTTCTCGCTCCTTCGTATAACGCGATCTCGTCTCCGTAGTACCTTTCAGAACATAAGAGAGCCATCAATGAATATAAAACTTCTTTTGTTCTTTTTCTTTTATGCAAAAAATGTGATTTTTACAAATGTATCCTAAAACTAGGTGTTGGGACTTGGGAGCCTATGGATTCGAGGTCATAACACAAGACAACTACAAGACGGATTAAATGATACGGTCTAATAAAGGAGTTTCAAGAGTTTTCTTGAATTTCAACTATATATAGTGTTAAGAAAGAAAAAAAGAAACAAAAGTTTAGATATATGTACCATGAGATGAGAAATTTTTCACCGGAAGGTGACTCCACAAGATGGTCTATCTTGGTAAACGAATTCATATCCTCCAACTCGTTCAACATATACTGGGGATAATCTTCTCTTTCCATGATATCGTACTTGAGCTCGATCTCCTCCTCCTCCTCGAAGTCTTGGTCAAAGGAGCACAACCAGTCTCCTCCAGGAGATGGAACGTAGAACCTTTGATCTTTCTTAGAATACATGAGACTTGAGTATGGGCTTACACTCTCATGCGTGCCGGTTTCGATATCGATCCACCGCAAGTCCTTATGCCTATAGAGCTTAAGCTGAGATCCCAACTTGATAACGACTACCCAATCTTCATTTTCTAGGTCAGGAAGAGAGGACATTTCTAGGTTTTGGGTTTGGCAACCTTTGGGAAGAGGAGGTAGATGAACGTTCACAAATTTTGCTTTAGGGTTAGAGGGCTTATAATAGATGTTTAGACGAACTTTTTCGGTATCACGGAGGATTGTTTTTTCCTTCATGCGAATAATCACTCCACTTTGATTAAATCCGGAGGTCATTGCGTTAAGGGTCTCTTTAGCGAGATTCTTGTTCTTGATGATGATTTCATTTTCACCATCTGATCCGGACCTTCTTGCTACGCAACCATCCGGAGACTCTGGGATATTAAGGAGGTGGTCAATTGACAGATATGGGTATATTGACGTAGATGAACACCACCGAACCATATTCTTGTTGGTGTAGTGTTTCTACAGAAAACAAAAATGATGTAATTAATTACGTATATAGGTTGCTAATCATACAAATAATCAAATAGTTATAGAAAGAAAGAAAGACTTACGATGATATTTTTGTAGACAGGCTTCAAGACTTGGCTGAGAATTTGAGACATTTTCGAAAATCCTAACTATATAATGTGTGTGTGTTTGTGTATGTATGTGCCTCAATCCTCATGTGTGTATGTATGTGCCTCAATCCTCATGTGACTTCTATACAGAGACGTAGAGTCAAAGCCTTGGATGCCAAGGTTACATTTAAAGAATAATATTAAGAGAAGAAGTTTCTTAAGGAAATTAATAATTACACATAGTTGAAAAAAAGAATCACAATATTTCGACCAAAGGACAAAAAAAGAAAGAGTAATCACAACTCTTCCAAGTTGTAAAATAAGAGTTAATTGCATAAAGATATTACGTCTTGGACATCAAGTTAAAGGAGGTAACAACTGTTTAGGAAGTACCAATGTTGAAAAAATCGCTAGGCAGTGGCTAGGTGGGTGATAGGAGACTAGCGCCTAGGCGGATTAGTCGGAGACTAGGTGGAGTCTAGGCATTAGCAAAATTTTCGTTAATTTTTATAAATTTTCTATCTATATATCATATTTTTAAAAATGTTTTAATTGTTTTCTTAAAAATTATTTTATCAAAATTTATGTTTGAATAAAAAGTAAGAAAAATTAATAAATAAAATTATAGAATAAAGTTCAACAAAGAAATCAAACTAAAAATCATCAAATTCTTCAAACTAAAATAAGTTTTAATCCAAAAACTTTAAAAATGTAAAGCAAAGAGAAATCTATCTAACTTACTCTTTAAACACGTCCATACATGCTCATTTTTAGACTCAAATTCAAAATCAGTAGTTATATTATTTTCATCGTCGGAATCGATATCTCCTCTAGGCTCATCGTTAAAATTGAAAGTTGAAACTTGAAACAGAGCACAAACAAAGTAAACAAAGATGAAAAGACAAATTAAGAGAATACAATATAGTTATTTAATATATACAAATAGATAAAGAGAAAATTCGTAGAGTTCAGCAATAGAGAATAATGATCCCCTCTTGTAGTTTATGAAGGTGAAGTAGTAGGGAGGAACAAGGATGATTATATTAAGTTATTAACCCTAATCCACGTTTCAAATCTTTTTTTCTCTTTTCTGTAAACCGATGTTGGTTTACTATCCAAAACCGTAAAAATTGACTGAAAAAAGATAAAAAATAGTTAGTCTAATTTGACCAATTTTACCGATTTGGTTCGATTTTTCTGATTTTTTCCGATTTTTTATTAAACCGGATCTGCTTCACTGATTTTATGAAAATCGGATCGGCTAACCCCGACTAGCCGCCTAGGCGGCTGCCTAGACCGATTTTTTGAACACTGGGAAGTACTATAATCAAAAACCATTTCGAAACTAAGAAATTGAATTGGAAAAATAAAACTTATGCTGACGTCTCCTCACAATAAAATCTTTTGGGATACTTTTGAAGAAAAAAAATTCATTTACTAAACAATTATATTTATGACATTCACATTTAACTTATGTTTCACTTGATTAATATGCATAATCATATAATTTTTATGGTGATGCTTTTATATACATTGTTAAATCAATATTAGTTTTTCAGTTCTTTCATTTCCAAAATAAATATATTATTTTCAATTTTTTATTTTTAAATGATATTGACCCATTTTATCGAATTATAAATTTTTAAAAAATGTGGCAAACATTATTCTTACGAATTTCATGTTTACCACTATATATTTAGGTTTTAAATTAACAAAATATTTAACCAAAACTATGCAGTCAATATTTTCATCAATTATTTTCTATTCTCTTAATACTTTTGTGAAAATCATTCTAGTTGAGCTAATTTTTTTTTAATTGATTTGGTAGTTTAACCAATTTAAAAATCATTCAAGACAAAATAAAAATCTATATCGGTATCGTTTAAATCAAATACATATTTCATAATGAAAATTGTATTTCATTTTTTCCATTTACAAATGAATATTAAAATCTGAAAAATTAATTTATATCATCACTCCAAAGAAATATTACAATAAAAAATACAAAAACATATTAATGAGCTTTTAAATTAGAATTCATTTTAAGTTTTGGCATTATAAATATCATCCAATCATCATTATATTATATTCAAATTTTATCAATTTTACGTTAGAAATAGTAAAACAAAAATATAAGTTACCAAAGTTCGCAAAATGTATATAGAGTTTGATTATTACCTAATATAGTTATCAAACATATTTTGCATTTATTTCTGTTAATTATTGATTATTTAACAATTTTTCAAATTTTTTAAAATTTATAACATAATTTGGATGCCCTACAATTAACCAAGAAAAAATGACTTCTATAATCATTTTACTCATTATTTTCGAACAAAAGTAGCATTTCCTGATCTAATTATAATATTTTGTTTTTATGATTTTTTTTTTTCACTCCAACCCTGATTCGAAAACCTTTGACACACAAACCCCATCAAATATGGGGGAATTGCTAAAAATAACCAACAATTTGAATGCAAATGCAAAAGTATACCCAAATTCAACCTATTGCAAAAATAGGTCAAAGAGGTAGAGAAATTACTATTATCTCCTACATGAGTAAACAAAAAAACGGAGGCCTCTATTACAATTTTAACCCTACGAAGTCTGCAAATATTAATGAAGTCTGTAGAGCAGACTTATAAGAAGTCTGCTATATTATTAAATCTTATATTTAAAATTTAAAATTATACAAAATAATTTAAACTGAAATTTGTTTCTATAAATCAAATGTCAACAAGTATGATCTATATAAATTATAATTTAATAAAAATAAATCATTTTAAACCATCTAAGATAAACATCAAAAGTGAATAATTTTAAAATAGGATTGTAGACTTCTTTATAAGTCTGCTCAAACCGTAAACAAAATTAAAATAAAATATTAATTTAAACTGGAAATAATTAACCTAACCAGATATAACCGGATATTTTTGCTCTATTATATAAATGAGATTTTACCCTAAATCAGAAACTCTCCACTTTGATCCCTCTCTCCAAAAATGGCGCTGCATTTTCTTTGTTGCTGTAATCCTCTTTCTTGCTGCTCTCCATTTTTGCTATGTTCTTCGTTCACTTGAGTTCGGATCTGCAATCATCTACAACAAGGACCAAGCTTGGGACAACCACGTAAGAATCTGTCCCATTTAATTATTTTACAAATTTTTGTTGATTTCATCTTCTTCTAATGCTATTTTGGTCGTTTTCTTTGTTATTGCAGTGGATTTTCTGGGTGGGACTATTCGTTGGTGCAGCTCTTATGGCTCTCTACCAACAGCTTGTCATCAGAGCAATTCCATTCATGACCACAAGCTGATTTCTTTCTTAGATTAGTCCCTTTCTTTTTTAAGTTTTTTGTTTTTTTTTTCACAGACGTTTTATCCAGTGTATTGTTCTCATCCTTTTCCTATTTTATTTTCTTTCTCTCGGATCCATTGTCTGTATCCCATGTTCTAAAAAGCGGCCGCCAAGACCGATTAGTCGTTTAAGACTTGAAATCAAATTCTTTGAAATTTTTTTTTCTTCGTTTAAGACTTGAAATCAATATATGTATGTCAGATCTATAAGATTTAGGTGTGAATAATAAGAATAATGCAAAAAATTGACTGATTATGTGAAAAAATTGGCTTGCAGCCGCGAAAAAGAGTTGCAGAACTCGAAAAACCTAGATAGAAGACGAAAACAAAATTACAATTATGCCCTTTTTAAAAACAGTAGACTTCATCTAAGTCTGCTTAGATGTGCTAATTACCTTTCAAACCAAAAAAATTCATAACTTTATAATTATAACACATAAACACACCAAACTCATACAAGTGCAAGAATCATACATAAAATGCATTTACAATTTAAAATTAAAAAAAAACATTACAAATACTTTATAAAATGCATTTTAAAAATTTTAAAAAAATACAGACATCCGTTCAAAATCCGCCGGGGAAATTTCACGTTGAAGTCTTCTAAAAAAAGGTTATTTTTGCATTTGACCAAATATTTGACTTTTCGTAGTAGACTTCTTTTTGCAGTCTGCGAGAAGAAAAAGTTATTTTTGCTATTGACCAAAAGTTTGACTTTTAGAGCAGACTTCTTAAGAAGTCTGCTGACGAGTAAAAGAAGTCTCCTATAGTAAAGAAGTCTGCTTATGAAGTCTACTTATGAAGTCTACTCTACAAAAGAAGTTTACTCAAGGGTTATTTTTGTAATTGACCAAAATGTTGACTTTCGAAGCAGACTTCTATGCGCATACTTCTTTAACAGTCTACTTGTAGGTCAGATTTGCATTTGACCGAATCTTAATTAAATAAATAGCAGACTTCAACAAAGTCTGCTATAAAAGTCAAAAGTGGTCAAAATCTTGGTCAATTGCAAAAATAACATCTTGAGTCAAATTACGAAATAGCAGCTATAAAAGTCAAAGTTCTTCAATTTTTTTGGTCAAATGCAAAAATAACATTTTCTTCTCGCAGACTGCAAAAGAAGTCTACATGATTTTTTTTGTTTACAAAGGACAATTCGCAGAAGTCTGCTTACACAAATATTAAAAAAAAAGTCAATTGCAAATCTAACTTCTGCGTTGACTAGCAGACTGAAAAAGAAGTCTGCTTTCGCGAAACAGAGCTAAATGTTAAAGAAAATGAAGTAGATGTTTACCTACTTCCAATTTAAACTCGATTAACTTTGACAAACACCCAGAATTTTGTATAGCACCGATAACAAACTAGCTAAGTCGTTGTTATGCAAGAATCTCCAAAAATAGATGATTTATGAAATTGGAATTTATAAAAATGAGCATGAAAGAGTTTTTTAGATGAAATTGGAGAGAAATTTGTAGGTAAAATGAAGTTATAAGCGACACAATAAGCATTTAGAGCTTCAAAATTGGTTGGGCAAACATTTAGAGCTTCAAAACTGGTTGGTAATAGTGGTTGGCAAAATTGAAGAATATGGTATTTTCGTAAATAAATGATATATTTTAGTATGGTTGTGTTTTTTTAGTATTTTTAAGAAAAAACAAAAATTAAAAACATAATGGCATTTTTGTGAATATATGTAGCTGTAAGGAGATAGTAAGGAGAAAGTGGCATTTATTAAAGAGAAATAAAAAAAGGTTACTTTTGCATTTGACTTCAAATTGTGGGTTATTTGTGCAAGTACCCCATCAAATATAAACAAGGTCTATTATATACATCGTGGCTCAAATGGTTTACAGAAGACCTATATATTAGAATCATAATATGGTTCACATTATCATTGCAAACTTGGATATTACAATTTTGCATAAATATCTCATTAAATTTCATATTAGTCAAAATAAAACGAAACAAATTTAGTATGCAATCCATGTATGTTCGACATAAACCGTCCCCTACCGTGGAAAGGTATGAACAGTGGTGCCCAAAAAGTGGGTCTTGCGGGTCAGTCCACTATGGGCAGCGGTCCCAAACAGTATGCACATGCAGTGAAGTATGATCTTCATCTTTTTTTTTTTTAGTTTTAAATATTTATTGATATTATATATTCAGTTTGCTACATAAATTCAGTTGCTACATAATTTTAATTACTAGAAATGCAAAATAATACAGATTAATAGAAATATACATTTACAGGAAATTTCTAGTACTCTACAAGTAGATCCATTCATTATGATATCCTGTATATCGAAGATAAAATGTTCATCGAATAATCGTGGATTCTTTTATAATATGTAACGTCAAATACTAAGGCTCACACATATTTCATTTATATAATAAAGAATTTATTTAGTTATACTTTGAAATAAAGCATAAACTGTTAATAAACTATTATAATAAATAAAAAGCAAAACACAACACCATATTAATAAGGAGTGAGAGAAAGTGGATGAGGCCAGTAAGGGTCCCTGAGAGATCTTAACTTTAAATCCTTTCCCTCGAAGAAAGTGCAAAAGTTTTCGGTGATGTCGTAAACTCCATAGTTATAACCCACGAAATAGATGCAGTTTGGCTTCAGACCTGGAGACGAGCTCGCTGGGACACACAAAGGTTCATCACGTCCAAGAAAGATACAAAGATCTCCGATGTCTTCTGTATAAGACATAAATTTTCTTCTTCTGTCCGATAATTTTGTATCCTCTCTAAACACTTTGAACTTCTTTGTTTTGTGAAAGATCTTTAAATTTAGCTTCCCTCTGTCAACTTCGGCGTCGTCCTCGTAGTACCTTCAAAAACACGTGAGGGAGTCATTATTAATGAAAACAAAACCCTAATTTTGTTAAACATCCTTGTAGAAAAAAGAGAAACAATGAAAGTTTAGAAATATTTATATACCATGAGATGAGGAATTGTTCACCGGAGGGTGACTCCACAAAGTGGTGTGTCCTGGTAGAAAAATTCATCTCCGCCAGATCGTACATATAAAATTCATCGCCATTTTTTGGAAGATAGTTTTTCCGAACCTCGATGAACTCAGGCTTGTCCTTCTCTTTGAAGTTGAGATCAAAAGAGCACAAGTAACTGCATCCAGGAGTTGGTACGTAGAACCTTTGATCTTTCTTAGAATACATGAGACTTGAGTATGGGCTTACACTCTCATGTGTGGTTTCGATATCGATCCACCGTGGGTCCTTATGCCTATAAAACCTAAGCTGATGAGATCCTGAAAACTCGACAGCAGCAACCCAATCTTCATTGTTTAGGCCAGGACGACAAGACATGGCTATGTTTTGGATTTGAGAGCCATTGGGAAGACGAGGAAGATGCTCAAATTTTTCCATGAAGAAAAGATGATCATAAGTGATAAATTCGTTATTCATTGCTTCAACGACTTCTTCAGCGAGGTCCTCGTCTTTAATCAAGACTTCCTTATTAGAATCACAATCGCTCCTTATTTCTAAGCGGCCATCGGAAGAATCTCCGACTCCGACCTTAGGGATGTGGTCAATTAATAGAAACGGGTAGTGTGGTTTAGAAGAACACCATCGAACAATGTTTTTATTGTGTCTCTGTCAAATGTAAATACGTTTAACTAATCATACAACAAGAACCAATCCTAGTAAAATAAACCCCAATTATTATAGAAAGAATTGAACAAAAAAACAGAACCAAAAAAAAAAAGCTTACAAGGACGTTTTTGTAGACAATGGGCTTCAAGATTCGGCTGAGAAGTTGAGACATTTTTCGAAATTCTCTTAACTACGTTGCTGGATTACTCGTGTCTTTCTCGTAGAGAGACTAATAGATTAAAAAATCCCTGGACTCCAAGTTTACATTAAAAAGCAATACTAATTTGAATAATAATTTATAAGGAAATAAATAATCATACCTAGTTGAAACATAGAAAGGAGAAAAAAATGCATATACGGTGGTGATGTTTTAGGTTGCAACACAAGTAAAAAATTTAGACGGAACAATAATAAGTTTTTTTAAAAAGGAAATAAAATGATTAAACATATATGAAAGGTTGGAAGTTAAACGAGTTAATTACCTTAAGATGGCCCTTGGACACCAATCTCAACGTATTTAAGGGAAAATGGGTTAAACTAAACATGAAAAGAAATGGAAAACTAATAATAGTCAAATTAAATGGGCTAAAGTCTAGCATATACCGTATGTAAACATATTTATGCATTGACCATTGAATTAGTACAATAGAATCTCTATAAATTAATACTGTATAAATTAATAATCACTATAAATTAATAAATTTTGTTGGTTTTAAGTTGCATCAGTGTAAAAATTCATCAAATTCAATAAGATAATAAGATAATAATTTGTTTGAAACCCTTACGTAAATATATGGTCCCAACAAAAACATAAATTAATATTATATAAATATATGTAAATATAATATTTTAAAATATGACTAATGTGTTTGTTTTTACTTAAAGTTGAAATCTCATTGGTTTCTATCTCTCTATTTATTATATCAGTAGCTTTTATTGTTGTTTTACTATATACATTCAAAATTTATGATGATTTTTTGATGTGATAATTGATTTTCTTACCTGGTAATGTTTTTAAATGTATTATAGTACTATCTTCAATTTTATCATCAATAATATTGATAGTAGCCATAGTTTTTTTTTTTATAAATTTTAAACTTATGAACACATACATTTTACATTGATAATCCAATATGTGTTAAAAACTATTTTATTGCGATAATTATGATTGTTAATTATAATTTATTTATAAGATTTGTCAAAATTTTAAAATATAACATTATAACATGATTTCTGTTTATTTTTGTTTCTTCATAACATATTAACCACTTGTATTTCATAATAATCTCAAATATTAAGACTTATTTTCGTAAAGTAACTTTTTAAGTTATAGCTTCAAAAAAAACACATATAACTAGAACTTAATTATTGAACTGATAACAAAAATAAAACAAGAATACATATACAGTATATTAAATAGGAGTGATATATAGTGGAGGAGGCCAATAGGGAAAACCAGTGGATCTTAATGGACCTTCCTCTGTGGAGAAGAGAGTGCAAATTTGTGTGTTGAGGTCGAAAACTCCATAGTTATAACCCACAAAATAGATGCAGTTTGGCTTAAGACCTGGAGACGAGCTTGCTTCGAGAGAGAAAGCTTCATCACGACCAAGAAAGATACAAAGATCTCCAATGTTTTCTGTGTAAGTCATATTTTTTCTGTTTTTATCCGTTGATGATTCTTCAACTTTAAACACCATGAACCGTTTTGTTTTGTGCCCGAATTTTTCAACATTGTAATCCGTCAAGTCGTCTCCGTAGTACCTTCAACACACATGAAAAGCCATTAATGAATCAAACTTCTTTTTGTTTTTTTTTTCTTATTAATAAAAGAGAACCATGAGCCGAAGTTTAGGCTAATCTATGGGATTTTTGGAATGAGTCAAATTCATCCCTCAAATTTGACCAAGATTTGATTATTTGATTTTTCAAACGAAAATAATTAACCAATTAAAACTTATAAGATAAACTATTCAACCAATTAGTTGACAAGCAAGAACTTCAAGAAAATGTTTTCCTAAAACTTAGGTTATCTTAAATTTGTTACAAGAAACGAAAAAACAAAAAACGAAGGATATATATACATGAATATACGTACCAGTTGATGAAGAATTGTTCTCCGGATGGTGACTCCACCATGTGATCTGTCCTGGTCATTGGAATCAGGTCGGCCAAACTGTGCAACACAATTGGAGGAAGAAGATTTATCCATAAGCTAACGAGCTCGGGCGTGTCTTTCTCCTTGAAGTTGAGATCAAAAGAGCACAAATATGCGCCCCCGGGACTTGGAATGTAGAACTTTTGATCTTTCTTAGAGAACATGAGACTCGAGAATGGGCTCATATACTCATGTACGTTTTCAATATCGTTCCATCGCAAGTGAGGACCGACTGGAGAAGCTGACCTATAGACCTTAAGCTGAGATCCTGATAACTTGAGAACCGCAACAAAGTCTTTATGATTGTTTATATCTTCTCTTTCACAAGAGGACATGGTCACTGCGTTTATGATTTGAGAGCCTAGAGGCAGAGAAGGTAATGTATCTACTTTTATGGTTCGAGAGCCTAAGGGAAGCCAAGGTAATGGACGACTTACTTTAAGATCAGAAAGATCGTAATCATCACGCGTGATGTGTATGCTATGGGAAAACTTGGAAACTCTTAATCTATCCTTTTTACAACAATATCCAGTATTCATTGCGTCTCGGATTTCTTTTGCAATTTCCTCGTTCATAATCAAGATTTTCTTTTCCGTATTTGAGACCATCCTTGTTTCTATGTGACCATCCGAAGAAACTTGTCCGTTAAGGATGCGGTCAATTAGCACGTAAGGGTACATTGGCATAGATGAGAATAACCGAGCCATCTTGTTGTTGTGTCTCTGCCAAAATGTAAGTAAGTACACGTTGAACTATATCATACAACAAGAACCAATAGTAGTCAAAATAAACCTAACTATAGAAAGAAAGGAACAAAAAAAAGGCTTACGATGACGTTTTTGCAGACATGAGGCTTCAAGACTCGACTGAGAAGTTGAGACATTTTGTTCTAAAATCTCTAAAACTACGTTGGTGATTTCTTGTGTTTCTCTCTGTAGAGACTAATACTGTAGATAAAAAAAACCTTGGACACCAAGTTAACATTAAATAACAATACTAAGAGAATAATACTTAAAGGAAATGAATAATTGTACCTATTTGAAACATAGAAAGAGGAAAAAAAATGAATATACGGTGATGACGTAGAAAGAGGAAATGAATAATTGTACCTATTAGTTTTGTTTTTAATAACATAGTAAGGTAAACTCTTTAGTCTCTTTCCGAGTTTCCGTTGATTTGTCATCAAATTTTTTTAGTCAACTCATCATCTTTCATTCTTTTTTACCAAACCTTTGGTAATGTATGACTAACTATTTTGCCATTTTTTTGTGACATTCTTTGACACATTGCTGCGTTTATATTTGAGAGTTTGTGGGCACAGAAGGTAATGGAGCTGCCGTGTAATCACTTGTAAACAATTAACCGATACCCTCCGGGTATTCATTGCATTTCAGAAAACATAAACGAAAATGATCATTGAACTAGTAAGAAAACAAAACAACTATGTGTATATTAACTAGAATTGATCATAGAAAGTGGATGAGGCCAATAAGGAAAATCAGTGGATCTTAATGAACCTTCATCTGTGGTGAAGAGAGTGCAAGTTTGTGTCGTGATATCGAAAACTCCATAGTTGTAACCCACAAAATAGATGCTTAAGACCTAAAGTGGAGCTTGCTTGGAGACAGGACGCTTCATTACGTCCAAGAAAGATACAAAGATCTCCAATGTCTTCTGTGTAAGACATCATTTTTCCTTTTTTATCAGTTGATGGTCCTTCCTCTTTAAACACCATGAACCGTTCTGTTTTGTGCTCGAGTTTTCCACTATCGTAAAACTTCAAGTGGTCTCCATAGTACCTTCAAACACAAGAAAGATAACATGATTTGATCATTGTCTAATATGTACAGATATGTAAAAAAAATATCAAATCTATCAATATATACTATTGATATACATACGTACCACTTGATGAGGAATTGTTGGCCGTATGGTGACTCGACCAGGTGGTCTGTCCTGGTCATCTGAATCAATTGTGACAAATTGTACAACAAACTTAAAGGAATAGGGTTTGTCCACAAGCGTACGAGCTCAGGCTTGTCTTTCTTCTTGACATTAAGATCAAAGGAGCACAAGTATTCACCACCAGGAGTTGGAACGTAGAACTTTCGATCTTTCTTAGAGTACATGAGGCTCGAGAATGGGCTTATAGACTCATGTATGGTTTGAATATCGATCCATCGAAAGTCATGGTCATGAGAAGCCAGCCTATAGACTTTGAGCTGAGATCCTGATAACTTGACAGCCACAACCAAGTCTTCAATGTTTGTGTCTTCATCTCTTTGGCCAGAGGACGACATCGCTACGTTTTGGATTTGAGTGCCTGTGGGCAAGTAAGGTAATCGAAGTTCCTTGGGACTCAAGTTAGGGTTAGAAGAATACACACATAGATGGAGACGCACGTTATCAATATTGCTGAGGTAGGATGTATCGCTATACATCGAAACTTGAAATCTACTATCATTTTGATAATATCCGACATTCATTGCATCACGGATTTCTTCCTCGAGTTCTTTGTCTTTGATCACGATTTGTTTAATCGTACTTGTTTCTAGCCCTCTCTCGATGCGACCTTCTAGATAATCTCCGTTTAACCATCTTGATTCTTTTCCGATCTTGAGGATTTGGTCGATTAACACGTACGGGTAGATCATTTGCATAGATGATGAGAACAACCGAACCATCTTGTTGTTGTTGTTGTGTCTCTGCCAAAACTTTAGTGTATACACGTTTTGCACTAAAATCATACAACAAGTACCGATACAATAAATTACTATAGAAAGGCAAAATAAAAGCTTACCATGACTTTTTTGTAGATATGAGGCTTCAAGATTCGAGTGAGAAGTTGAGACATTTTTTTCTCTAAAACCTCTTTAACTACGTTGCTGATTTCTTGTGTGTTTCGATCTCTATAGAGACTAATTGATTAACAAGCATTGAACACCAAGTTTACATTCATACCAATAGAATATATAAGTTATAAGGAAATATGTAATTATAGTTATTCGAAACACATATTTAAATATACAGAGAATAATACTCATTGGACACCAAATTCAAGTATAGAAATAATTTTAAAGGCATTATATTGTCTTCCCAAATCCATTATGCTTCAACTTGGTGACCAAGGCGGGTTTTGATTATTTCCTTACACTTTATTATGCCTTTCATCATTCGACAGTTTGTGGCTCAAGAAGATATCCCTTTATTTTCCATATTTCTCGGTGTACTTCTTTGATTATGTGAAATGGCAAAGAACATAGGACCATGTATAGTAAATACGGATTCTACAAGGCCATGCCAGGAAAGTAAATGGTCCAGCGTAAAAACCCAAGCTAATCCACCAGAGGTGATGTATCTTTGGATTATCAAAACATTGTTAACCATGGTAGAGAGGAATTATTAGGTTTTTTGTCAACAACTTTACGGATAATCGAATCTAACCCTGAAAAAACAGACTAGACTTTATACTTGTGTCTAAGACTCATCAGAGCTTATTCAAAAATCAGAATCAGAAAGAAATAAGATTACATATCCAAAGAAACAAAAAAAAAAAGCAGACAATTTAATTTCAACTCTCTCTCGACCTAAATTCACTATAGAAATTTCCAATCTCTCTCTTACTTATCTGAGAACATTCTCTTCATCTCACCATCACACATTTAAAAGTTCTCATAAACCCAAAAAAAAAGTAACCAAAAGACAAGTTTTAAATCAAGAATCTTTGATACTCTTGTGCAACACCATGTACAAAATCATTGAGAGTACAAGAGGAAGAAAGATCACGATCCTCTTCGGGGCCCTAACAGAAAAACTATCGACGCAGCATCCTTCTTCAACAATGGTCTCAAGCTTTGGCAAGTTTGAGAATTGCTGTTGTTGTTTCTGGTGAGATACAATAAGCCTTGGTGATACCTCTCCCCATGTTTGAACATACCTCATTTCCTTAGCCATGTTTTTTTTTCTTTCTTTCACCAACGGATTTCTTTTTCCGACAACAATCCGATGCAGCAGAAGGAAAACGCCGGTTTAGTTTAAGAAAGAAGAAAAAAAAAACGAATTTTTTTTTTTTTTGCAGCTGAGGAGGAGAAGGAAGATTGAAAGGTGATTTTGACTAAACGAATGAAGTTGAGGAGACAAATGGGAGAGGTTAAATAGAGAGACTAAAGGTGACAAATATGGAAAATGATAAGAAGAAATGAACGTTTTTCGGGATATCGAAGAAAAAAAAGTGCGGTTTGTTAGATTTGCTAAATTTAGAAACTCTAAAAACAGGTAGTGTGCCCAAATAAACATTAGAGGTTTAAGAGTTAAAAAAGGGTCAAAACAATTATCTTTTCGGGATATCTTTAGAATCCAAAAACAAAAACGGTCATTGAATAAAAACAGAGGAACCTTATCAGTTTTCTAGAACTAATAGCCTCATAAAATTGGTTATATACTCCCTATAATCTATAAGATCACATATACAGAGTATGTAGGAATATATATGAACCTGGAATCAGAATGTGTCAAAGAAAGAATGTAACAGCTTCTCAACCCGAAAGGCTTTTTTTGTTCCAAGAATTGTCCCCATAAGGCCTGAGATTGAAAATGGTGCATATAAGCGACTTATAACAAAGAAAATAAAGGTTGTCTAAGTGTATCTTTTTACCTCGGATTTTTCAAATGGAGCAACATGAAGATGATGGATATGATTATGGAAGAGGAACCAACGACGAGATATGTGATGCCGAGGAAATCGTTTCTTCCTCCTAACCAACTTGATGTTGAGAGAATCAACTTCTTCTGCCCACTAAAGCTATAAGTGTTGTAATTGTTCATCACATTTACCACAACAACGTTTCTTGGTTCCAAGTCCTCTTCGATTCGTCCGTATAGTTTCCGGAAGCTTAGTAGAGCAGCTGCTCGCATCCACACAATAAAGTCCTCTTGGTCACTTAGCTGCAAAGTAATCAAAATCGCTTAAGCTTAAAAACATAATTAAGATTTTATGGTTATAGGAATTGAAATGGCTAAGAATGCATACTGGAATTTTGGAATCCAACTTTGCTCCACCAATCAAAGTTCCGTTCTGGAAATTGTAAGGATACACATTCTTTCCGAACTTGTGCTCACGGTCACTCTTCCACGCAATGTTTTTCCGGCTCACCTTCAGTTTCGTACTTTCACGAGCAAAAGTAAATGTATCATTGAACATACTCCAAGCTATTAACCCACAAGGAACAATCGGGAGACCATTAGATGACTCCTCGGGTTCACAAGCACTTGTGTGTCTATATTCCAGTCCATGTAACAGTTGCTGATCACTTCTACTCTTTACATACCTACAAAAACAATCATCCGCAAGCAAATGATGGACTTTCTCATCACCAGTTTTCAAAAAATAAAATAATAGAAGGATCTTGTTATTTACCGTCGGTGGTTTTGATAGTAGTTGTCAAGCTGGTAGTAGATATAAATGGGAGCTTTCATATACTTTTGTACCTACAATCGTGTATACAATATTCAAGATATTGAAAGTATAAAAAAACAAACCACCAATATGTAACAACGAAGATACTCTTAATTCTTAATATATAGAAAACATTTTCGTTAATTGGGAATCAATGGGAGCAGAAAGTCATTACCTTCAAGTAACGAGTACAATTCTTTGGGATTGATGCATCTGTTATGTATGAAAGTTTGTTGCTTTTATACTCTTCAGGAATGCATTCAACATCGTACCGATCCATAATCTCAATAGCCTGCCAATGAAGGATTTAAAAAAACAAAATTCTCCACAACTTACAGCCCAAATACAAGAGATACGGTTCAAGACCACTTCATTAGACTATAGAGACTTACATCACGAGAAGCACGAAGAGTAAGGAAGCCAATGGGGATGAAAACAAAACCCATAAGTAGAAACACTGTTATAACCTGGAAGACATGTGAGTTCAAAATTCAAGCATTAGCATTTTGGATTTCGATCAGTTAATCAGAAGAAGAACTTGTTGAGATCACAAAAATTCATGTTACTAACCGATGTTGGTGTTAAGACTGGCTTACAAGCTGGGAGTTTCTGCTGCTTAAACTGATACAAAGCTGCCAAAATAAAGACACACAAACACACGATGATTCAATGTTCAGTTCTTGAAATTGGTAACATAAATCTATAAACAATGCAACATCGATGCCAAAATCACAGATTTTTTTTGCCTAAATAAAACTGATACAGAGCTGCCAAATACACATTCACAGTGATTCATTGTTAAGTTAATAAAGCCTAAAATAGTTCCATGAATCTATATGAACAATGCAACAATCGGTACCAAATCAGAGATTATTTTGCCCTAATCTAACCCGTGAGAACTTAAGCTAGGCTTTGAATAAACTTAGAAAAAGAGGATTAAATCACCTTTCGATCGCCTGGATCGTAAGAAAGATGATTGATCAGGAGCACGATTCATCGAAGTGCTCGATCCTTCCACTTCCATCATTATCCCTCTCGACTTCTCAACTATACATCGGAAGAATCAATTACTCCCTTCGCGGCTCGAACACACAAATCGGCGGGGAAAAACCTCCGCCGACTCTCACTGTGGATCGATTGACAGATCTAGAATCGAATAGTCACTGGTTCTCAATGCGTAGCGTAGATTCACCTGATCTCGATTTTTGTTTTGTATTTGTCAATAAATCTTTTCCGCTTTAGTAAAGTTATTGCATTAAAGTTTGAACATGAAAAAAGTTTGAACTTGAAAAAGGAGTAATAACCAAAACAAAACTAAAAAGAGAGGACTGAGTTTGAATATTCATAGAACAAAATATAACATGTAAATCGCAAATAAATATAAATATAGGTCATATCGGTAATAAACGAAAGATATTCGGAAAAATATGTAAAAAAAAACCATTTATAACATAAGAGGCATCATTTATAATAGTCCCTAGTGAATAATCCAAAACTTTTTGAGCATGGTAACAATAAATAAAAAAAGTACCAAAATGGGAAAGTAAAAAGAACTTTGGATGAGAGTTTAAAGAAGAAGAACATAAAAAAAAGTTATGGATCAGTGTTTAAAGAAGAAGAACAACATAAAGACACATAACGTGGTTTAGCGTTTTTGCTGTTTCTTGCTGTTATCTCAAGCAATGTGTTGAGCCAAAGCAAGAATCTTGAGATGTTTCTTCTTGCGAAGCTCGTGAGGAACAGGACCAAACACACGAGTACCAATCGGTTGGCGATCGGTTTTGATACCCTTGTCTTTATTATCAACAAGAACAACCGCATTATCATCAAACCTAACCTCGCTTCCATCGACACGACCTCTCTGCATCGCAGCTCGAACAACCACACCGTACACAACCGCTCCTTTCTTCACTTTACCGTTTGGCATCGCTTCTTTCACTGAAGCAACTATGGTGTCTCCAAGTCTAGCTCCTTTTTTGCTCTTTAGTGCTTGAATACACTTCACTTTCTTCGCACCTGAATTGTCCACCACTTTGAGTACTGTCCCCATTTGAATGAATGTCCTTCGCTGCTGTTGCTGCTTCCATCAAAATTAACCACGAAAAAAAGAAGCTTTAAAGACGTCAAAACATCTATAAAAAGAAGCTTGTTCTAGTTCTGTACTTCAATCCAAAACATCTACTGACCAAAGCAAATACTACAAAACCAATATCCGTTCAAAACGAAGCAAACACACAAATACTTAAATGTAAATATCTGTTTAAAAGCGATAAAGAACACATAGATGCAATAAGGGAAGAAGGGTTTCTAACCTGAGAGAGGATACTTTCATTCATCATTCCGTTTGAAGAATTCATCAATCCATTCTTAAGACCTCCAAGCAATGAACGTCCTCCTGCTCATGAATTGTGTATGAATCAACATCAGACAACAAACCTCAAAAACAGATACAAAAAGAAAAAGAAAAATAAACAGATTTTGAGCATGAGTTGATAACATCGGCAACCAAATGTTTAATAACTTGAATCTGTTTTTCAATATCAATTACAAAAATAAATAAAAATAAAAACTTTTGATGTAAAACTTGTTGAATATCAGAACTTTTTCCATTAAGAGGCATACCCATCACAGATTAAAAACTGAATCTCATTTTTCACAACTTTAAAATCCCAAAGTTTCTTTTTTTTTGTTCAATAAATCCCACAGTTTCTCAGACTCGAATGTTGCATTAAAATTGAGATACAATCCGAGATTCAATTAGATCGAAGAAATATATAAGTAGCCGGTCTCTTACCACGTGAGAGTCTAGAGGCTAAAGCTGCCGCCATTTCTGCTATTAGAAGTTTTGATCTTGATATCAATGAAACAATAAATATTAATAATACTCTTCTTCCAGAGAAAGATATACAGATTCGGAAAATGCTAACTTACGAATTTGTTGATGGAGAATAATAGATTCGTTGCAGAAGAATTAGAGCGAGAGCGAGGCGGAGGATGGTATAAGGAAAGGTTTAAGCGTGGCAACAAATGTAGATAGAAGGATTAATCAAGGGTATAAAGGACAGTTTGTGATTTGAAGTTCTGGTATGTTTCTATTTTCAGCCCAAACAAATGAATGGGCTTGAAGTTTTTTAATGCATTTTTTAAGCAGAAATTTTTTTTTGAAAATTAAATTAGATTTTCTAGACTGTTATGGGTTTGGTTCTTGCCTCCGAAATTTTTTAGTCATTTAACTAACTGTTTCTCTGATGATAAATGTTGCATGAAACAGTTAGTTAAATGACTAAAACTGTGTAGAAGCTAAAACTATGATTAAACGTGTTTGTAAAGTGAGAAGTTTAAGGAGTTAAACCAAAATTAGGAACAGTGTCATCATAGACTTATACCTAAGAAACCACATTAAATAAAGAAACTTGGTCCAATTCTCTCATGAGTCATGACCACAACATTGTTTGCCTGCTTGAAAATAAACAAGTGGGTCCAGCTTGTTGACAATATCCATATATAGCTACGTTTACTTTATATTCCGCCCTTGGCAGTTCCACGCGATGGTCCTCATTCAGCGGGCTTGGGTGGGTTCAGGGACCCCACCAAACCTGCATCATATCGAAGGAAGTTTGAGGCTTTAGGAACAACAATAGCGAGACACTCAGAATGAGAAAGTAGCTCCTCATGACGAGGGAAAAATTTTAAGCTCTTAGATTTCTTACCCCTAGATCCACCCTGGGTCGATCCAGCCTTCTTCGGTGAGTGCTTGCCATGGAACGGCTTAAGCTTCCTAGAGACAGCCACGCCAACACCTTTGGGGCTCCGTGGGATCTTTTTCTTTGTTTCCACCTGCTTTCTTGAACCGACAGAAGAGAGTTGAGCAGCCTTCTTATCTTTATCACCTACACCTCCAACTCGGGCCGCCTTAGTCTGCTTAGGAGAGCGAATTCTCCTGCTCGTTGGGGATTGAGAAGTAGATGGAGCCACCTTGAGACCGCGCACGATGGGCATCGGCGTTTCTGAGATAGTGTGTTCAAAATTCAAGCATTAGCATGAAGATGGAGCCACCTTGAGACCGCGCACGATAAGCCTACGACCCGTCGACTGGAAGAGTTGTGTAGGAGATTCTCTCCAGGTTTTTTGTTTTTATCAGAGACAAAGAATGATCGTTTTTTTCTGCAAAATATGCAAGTAACTCTTGGATTTGAAAACCTCCACACTGTCGAACCTAAGGGTAATAGTGGAGGTCTAGCTCTTTTGTATTCTAAGGATTTTCCGGTTAGGATTTTATTCTCTGATGATCGACTTATTGATATTGAGACTATTATCGATGGAAACCGTGTTTTTATGTCATTTGTGTATGGTGATCCTGTGGTTAAAAACAGAGAGTATGTGTGGGAGAGATTGAGTAGGATAGGTACTGATCGTATAGGTGCTTGGTTTATTGCCGGAGACTTTAACGAGATAACCGGCAACCATGAAAAGAGTGGCGGAAAGCGCCGCTCCGAGACCTCCTTTCTCCCATTCCGAGCGATGATAAATTGTTGTGGCTTCATTGAATTCCCGTTCACGGGAAACCAATTCTCTTGGGCGGGTAGGCGGCGGAATGGTTTAATCCGCTGTAGACTGGATCGAGCAATGGGCAATGAAGAATGGCACAACACTTTTTCCCACACCCAGGTGGAGTATATGAAGATGTGGGCCTCCGACCATAGACCTCTTCTGATATCTATTCAAAATAAACCAGCGCAACCCCGTAGGAGCTTCCTCTTTGACAAACGATGGCTTGATAAGCCAGGGCTGCAAGATGCAGTGAGCGAGGGCTGGAAAGCTTCCCGCCATGCGGCTACCTCTGCTCTCGTCAGTTGTATTCAAAATTGCAGACAGGTCATCTCTAAATGGAAAAAGGGTACAAAAACGAATTCAGAGAAGCTGATATTAGAGATCCAGGACCAGATAGATCAAGCTAACAATGATGAAAACTTTTCCACCGAGATGCTTATCGAGTTAAAGAAGAAGCTTAGTGCAGCGTATATGGAAGAAGAACAGTATTGGCGTGTGAAAAGTAGAGCTCTTTGGCTAAGAGATGGAGACAAGAATACAAAATTTTTCCAAGCGACAACCAAACAAAGACGGGCAAGAAATAAGATCCTGGGCCTCCTCAATTCGAATGGCATTTGGGTTGATAACGAGGATGGGATCGAAAGTGTTGCCATCGACTATTTCCAAACCCTCTTTTCCTCTGCCCCTTCGGCAAACTTAGATAGTGCACTCCGGGACGTTCCCGCGTTGGTCACGGCCTCAATGAACGAGGCACTTACCAAAGAAGTAACGGTTGAAGAAGTTAAGAGGGCTCTCTTCTCTCTTCACCCGGACAAATCTCCCGGGCCCGATGGGATGACGGCTTTATTTTATCAAAGATTTTGGGATACTATCCGTCTTGAATTGGTTGCGACGGTACAAGATTTCTTTAGCTCAAGCTCGTTTGATAGCAAGCTAAATGAAACGAACATATGTCTAATCCCTAAGGGAGAGAGACCTAGAGAGATGGCTGGCTTTCGGCCCATAAGCCTTTGCAATGTGGCGTATAAGGTCATCTCTGAAATCTTGAGCATCCGATTGAAGAAATTCCTTCCGGATTTAATATCTGAGACTCAGTCTGCTTTTGTTGCAGGTCGACTAATTACAGATAACATTCTCATTGCTCAAGAGAACTTCCACGCACTTCGATCAAATCCAGCATGTCGTAAGAATTTTGTTGCGATTAAGACAGACATGAGTAAGGCTTATGATCGGGTGGAGTGGGATTTTCTGCGAGCATTGATGGTGAAGATGGGATTCGACTCTAGATGGATTGAATGGATCATGTGCTGTATTACCTCAGTTACGTACAAGATCCTCATCAACGGCGTTCCGAGGGGGCAAATTAAACCCTCTCGAGGCATTCGACAAGGAGATCCTATCTCTCCTCATCTCTTCATCCTCTGCACAGAAGCTCTAATTGCTCAATTAAAGAGTGCGGAAACAGAAGGGAAAATCGAAGGTATAAGGATTGCTAGAGCAAGTCCGGCGACCTCCCACCTGCTGTTTGCGGATGATAGCTTATTCTTTTGCAGAGCAGATAAAGCCCAAACTAAAGAAGTCATCGACATTATCCACTCTTATGGGGAGGCTTCCGGCCAAAGAATTAACTTCTCCAAGTCTTCTATCATGTTTGGAAATGATATCCCCCCAGAGATGCGATCAGAGATTAAGACAACCTTAGGGATTCACCAAGAGGGAGGAATGGGGATGTATCTAGGTCTCCCTGAGAAGATCTGTGGCTCTAAGGTTCAGGTATTCTCCTTTGTGAGAGATAGACTTCAGAGCCGTATTAATTCATGGTCTGCGAAACTATTATCCAAGGTGGGGAAAGAAGTTTTAATCAAATCGCAAGCACAAGCTCTTCCGACTTATGTCATGTCGTGTTATCTCCTCCCGAAAGCTATCCGATCAAAGCTTAACAGCGCTATTGCGAGATTCTGGTGGAGTACTAAGACAAACAATGGAGGAATCCATTGGATCGCCTGGGACAAAATTTGTTGCAACTTTGTGGAGGGAGGCCTAGGATTTCGGAACCTTGAAGCCTTTAATCTGGCTCTCTTAGGAAAACAGCTTTGGAGGCTGCTAAGGTACCCGGATTCCTTGCTTAGTAGGGTTTTAAAAGGGAGGTACTTTAAGTATTGCAACCCATTGGAAATCAGTGTATCGAACCGGCCCTCTTTTGGATGGAGGAGTATCATGGCTGCTCAGCCACTTCTGCGACCGCATATTCGTAAGACTATCAGATCAGGTTTCGATACTTGTGTCAGGTCTGATCCCTGGATCCCCGACGAACCAGCTCGACCTCCGAAAGGGCTTAACGTCGTTAGAGATCCCCTCTTATATGTCAACTCGCTGATTGACTTTGAGTCAAAACAGTGGAAAGTAGAGCGCTTGGGTGAGCTCTTTCCACCGGAAGAAATAATTTTGATTCAGAGTATTCATCCGAGCCGCTCAGTCTTGAGAGACGGGTTTAGTTGGCCTTTGACGAAATCCGGTGTTTACACGGTTAAGTCAGGGTATCATGTCGCGAGGAGCCTCCCTCGTCCTTCTTGTGAACCCCCTCTTCAGGGTCCAAGTATCTCAGTACTTAAGGCACAAGTATGGAAGCTAAAAACTACTCGAAAGACTAAACATTTCGTGTGGCAATGCTTATCTGGCTGTGTTGCAACATGCCAAAGACTCCTCTCTAGACATATTGGGAGAGAAAAGACTTGTCCGCGGTGTGGAGCGGAGGAAGAAACCATTCATCACATGCTCTTTGACTGTCCTCCGGCCCGTCAACTGTGGGCACTCTCTGCGATTCCTTCGGCACCAGATATCTTTTTGTCGCCCTCTATCTTTGACTGCTTTGACTTCTTATTCTGGCGGGCTCAAAAAAGGGGAGCTACGGAAGAGTCCCTCCGGATCTTTCCGTGGATGGTATGGTTTACCTGGAAGGCTAGAAACAGGAAGGTCTTTGAAAACATTGTAGAAGACCCGACACGCTGAACCACGCAATTGAAGAGGAAGCGGCATGGAGGTTGGCAAACTCTGATGTTAACTCTGATCCCATAGTTGCGGGATCACTGAACACAGCGTTTGTTCCGGCTCCGAGCGTGCTAGTTTGCTTTACGGATGCTTCATGGAAGATTGGTGTCCCCACAAGTGGCTATGGTTGGGTTCTAGAGCAAGGAGGTGTGTTGCTCCATTTAGGCCTTCATGGAGTTAGACGTAGGCAGTCTCCTCTCCATGTAGAACTCGGCTCTCTAATCTGGGCGATGGAATGTTTAATAAGGCTCTCCCTGAGAGCCATTGCTTTTGCCACGGATTGTCTGGACTTAGTTCATATGATCGAAAACCTCTCGGATTGGCCGACCTTTGCTTCTGAGTTGGATGACATGATCGAGATCAAGAAGCGGTTCTCATCGTTTAGCATTCGCTATGTTCCTCGCTTGGAGAATTCCCGAGCTGACTTCCTCGCGAACAAAGCTCGCTTGAGGGGCTTCTGTTTCGACTTTGTTAACCCATCGGCTCCCGACTGGCTCTCTAGCAGAAAGTCAACTTCGGTTAAACAGTTAAGGGTGTTTGTTAATGTTGTAAAAGAAAAAAAAAAAAAAAAAAAGCTACGTTTACTTTTAATAGAATATGGCGTTTCTAAAGCAAGCTAATGTCGAGTGAGATAAGATCAATTATAAATGGTGATCCATGTAGACAATTTATCAGCATAACAATTTGAAAACTAATAAAAAAACAATTGTTGTGGCCTGTCAAGTGAAGCAGCTTACTGTTAAAAGACTAGCAAAGTACTAAAATGCTTGATTTAATTTAAAATAACTTGTATAATGACAGGGGAGTAAGCAAATGTATATCTCATACCTACAATATTCACATAAAGAGAGAAGAACGAGCAAAGCTAAAGGCTTTCAAGTAACTAACAAAGACCCAAAAATAAACCTCTTACATGATATAAGTAATTTGTTAAAATATGACTGTAAGATCCTGCAAAAGCATAAGCTTCAAAGAAAAATAGCTGGCAGATGCAGTAGGCAGCAAAACTGGTTTCTGGATTCATCAAAACTGGATTTTATTTCATTCTCTGCTTCCCCAATTATGTAGCTTTTATATGTAATCTCTTGAATCACCATCGGGTTCCCTAATAAACAAGAAATTATAACCATAACAATGAGAAAAGGAAGTTGTGAAGATAGCATAAAGTCTCAGTTTTTATTGTCAATCCATGACACAAATGCTTGATTAATCATCAAATTCAAATGCAGTGAGGGGTAGTGACAATCTCAAATCACTTCATATGAAGAACATGAGAACCAATTTTACCTCAGTTTTCGACTTAAAACGAGTTCATTTCTAGACAGTAAGTCCTTCTCTTGACCAGCAATTTAGCAGCTGTCTCATAAGGCTCCTCGAAAGCCAAAGATACCCAAGAGATATCAGACACTTCCTTCTTCGACTCACTCGGTCTTATCGCAACTAAAGTCGCACCTTTCAACACAGTTCCATCAGGCAATTCCAAGGTAGGAGCATACCATAGTCTCATGTTCAATGCAGGCACAAGAGTCCTCTTCGAAGCCGAAGAAGCTAACAATGGTTTAACTCTCAGCTCTTCTAGCTGATCCCTGTTCATACAAAGCACACCTTGCCCATCAGAATCAGTGAGCACTAAACTGTTGAGCGTCTTGTGCTCGGCGATAATCGGTTGCAGCAAGTAATGCCGTGCTGATGCAGCAATCAATGAGCTGATTGTCCATACAACACGCAGCTTTAAACCTCCGTTTGTGTAAAACGATTCCGGTATATCGTCGCCGACGACGGAGGATTCAACGATTGTAGTAGTATCAAAGGATTGAGAAATTCGCATTGGATTCGGTTGAATCACAGAGGAAGCTCCAAGAATCACGCAACTATCTAAGGTCGAACCAAATTCCGCTCTCCATTTCAACAAAACTCCGTCGTCTATTCCGAGCTCGCCGCTGGGTAGCTCGATGCGTAGGTAACGAACCTCGTCGAAGTTTTTCAAAACCTGAGTGGGAGAGTGGTGCGTTACACCGCTTTGTTCGATCTCTTCTCCACCTTCGTCTCCACTAATCGACAGAGAAGAGGAAGAAGAAGACGACGCGGAGCCACACGGCCTCTTCGTGCCGAGGAACTGACCTAGAGCTTGTAACGGCTTGACAATGCCACCAACAACAAGGCGAAACATGGCGGAGAAAGATCCGGCGGATGCGGCGGAGCGGGATTTGATAGAAGAGAGAGATGACGAATCGTCGTCGGATATGACGCAATCGACACGAACGACGATGTTCTCGACCTGAGGAACTAGAGAGTGAAACCTCCGGGAGACGACGCAGCATCGACCGAGTGATTTCACGTCGCCGATTTTGTTGAAGACGAGGAGGAGGATTGAGTCTGGGAGACGATCGAAGTGGTCGATTTCTAGGATTTGTGGCTCGGGATGGATCCGTGAAGGTGGATCTGATCGAGTGATTACGGCCATGGAGAAGGGTATTGACTGGATCTTCGGATAAAAATTCTAGGGTTTCAGATAAGGATTCGAATCAGAATTGATCCTTCAGAGAAGACAACGCATTGAGAGGTTTCTAGAGAGGGAGAGAGAGATGAAAATGGTGGGAGGAAATAGATCCACGATGTATTTTGTTTGCTTTAAAGCGCGTGAATAAATATATGAGCGCGTGTGCCACGTGAAGATAGACAGATGAGACAATTTTTTTATCATTTTAGATTTTTTCATACGATTATTTTTATATAACAAAGGATAATCTAGGCTAAATTTGATTAATCTATGTGGACTAGCTTACTCATAAGATATATAATAAATAGACCTAAAGCATGATATTATTTTCAACTGACCAACTCACATGTGATTTTTTATTTCAGTGGAAACAAAACTTAGAGAGAGTAAACCAAATGATTTCAAACAACTAAACTATGGAGTATCGGATTCCATCATAACTACATAGTTAGTCATGTTTGGACGAAAATAGTATTAAAATTGGTGAATTCTCACAAAGTTTTTTTTGTTGTAATTTTTTTTTAAAAAACTTATCAACTGAAAACTAGATCATAGTGACTTGGTTAGAAATTATTTATATTACAAAAATGTTAATTTATCAACAATTTGAAAAATAAAAAGATAACAAAAATTTTAAGTTGGAGAGTCTCGTGGTCAAAAAAAAAAAAAAAACAAAGCAAATATTGGGAGGTTTGGCTTGTAACTTGTAAGACCATCTCTAATATATGCCTCTATTTTTTCCTCTAAAATAGAGATGCATTTATTTCCAATGTTTACCTTTATTATTTCCTTTAAAAAAGAATATTTTCAATATATTCTTTCTGTTAATTATTCTTAAAATCCTTCATTAATAAAATTTATGAATTGATCTTACTTATTTTTTTTAAAAAAAAAATTCACATAAATTATACTAATACTAACTTCTGATAAATAAAAGTTGTGAAGCCCTATTTATTTTAATTTTTACAAAAGTTTCTACAAATTATCATAATACTAGAAGTAAAGATTCATAAATTAAAGAAAACATTACAATATATGTTTTTTAATTTTTTTTCTAAACTATAACCAAAATTATCACAATTTTATTCAATTAAATATAGGATTCTATATTTGTTGCACAGATAGAAAGATTTAAAAGTTGAAGAAGTACTTTATAAATAAAAAAGTTCACCTCTATTATAGAGGAAAAAAATAGAATCCCTCTATATTTGGAGGAAAAAATAACAATCTTTATTTTAGAAGTGAAAATAGAGGTGGGTTGGAGCATAAACTCTATTTTCACCTCTATAATAGAAGTGGGTTGGAGATGTTCTAAGTGACCAAGAAAGAATCATCTTTTTTTTTTTTATAACTCAGATAATCCGACTGATTTAAGGGACCGCCAGCGGCGGAGCTATGGATTGTAAATCCTGACTATAGACCAGCACATCATCCTCCCAACACCGACTAATCCTGGGGCCCGAAGAGATCATGTGAATACCCCGATGGCCAAGTGGATTAAATGTTGTAATTCTGCTTCTATGGAAAGTTGATCCCTGGCCTAGACCAACAGAGAAACTCTCACCAAAGAAGGGAACCACCCCACTACCACTACTTGGTTTGGAATCGTCAATTGCATAATAGATGTGTATATTTATGTATTGATAACATGAATGATGCCAAACTTAAAGATCATTTTTGTGGGCAATACAGAATATGCATAGCCATAATTAACTCTATCAAGTCTTGGTTTCACTAGAAGCTCCAAAGTTAATAGGTGCAATATAGGAAGATTGTAGACATGAGTATTTGACTCTCTTCTCGTCATTAAGCAACAGGAATGTGAATTTTGTAGAATCCACTATAACGACTAAATATTATAAAAAAAAGACCGACGATAAATAGAAGTGTTTTTCTCGTTGTTCAAAATGTCACGGTAGATGATCGCCGTTAACCATACATAGTCATTGGTCATCCAAGGAAGGTGCAAACGATCTTTGATTATATGCCATTAAATAAAGTAAATAAACTGTATTTTTGTCACTTAGAGCATTTGCAGTGGCCAAATAAATGGTAGCACTAAAGATCCATAGTTAGTGGGATTTTCACTATGTTTTACACCCATACAGGTTGCAGAAATTTTTTTTCTTGTAGGATACATTAGAATCATTTATTAAAAAAAAATCCATTATTGGCATTCTTGATTAATTACTTAATAATATTTATTTAGTCAAAAATGATTGAAAAAAGATAATAGATCATGGGGGACAGATGCACCTGTTAGTCTTGCTCTAAATACGTCCATTCCTAGACTCACATAGAAATCTTTCACTATTCTTATCAACCGTTACACCAACACTACTTACTTTTTGGAGAATTAGATTTTCCTAAGACACATAGGAAGAATATAAATATATATATCTATATATATTTATATATATTTGTAGAATGTAATCTATATAATTGTCTAATGTCTATAATATCTTCCTTATGCAACCGGTTACCTTCAAACTTAGTTGATTCCACCTTTGCATATCCTAACGAACTTTTTTCTTTTGGTTAAAGATACCTTAACGAACTTCATTATCCTTAAATCATAACAACTTGAAACCAATAATATGCATATGCATCCGTGACTATAGACAAGTCATGTGTTGATATTGCGATGGATAATGAATTAGAAAGCCACACCTCCTAATGTGCACGTTGTGTCATGTGTGTTGTCTCATTTCACACGCCTCGGCGTTTTCCTGAGATTGAATTTAAAGATGCAAAACGACATGTGACTGTTAAATGCACATTCACCAATGAAGCATCAAAGTTTCTTCCTTCTTAATTCTTGCATAAAAATTGTCACCTCCTAAATTTTTTATTCTGTGTGTATTATTATGATAATGCAATTTAAATATTGGAGAGCCAACCAATTATGTGTTTTGTTTTTTGGGTGTAGACCAATTATGGGGTTTCACGCCTCGACATGTTTGGGTTGAGCAATTATAGAAGACAAGCATATGTTGATTCATGATTTCATGTCCCATATCAATATCTAGATACACATGCCAACACGTGTTCACCTCCATATCGATAAGCAAATTTTGTGAATACAGGCAGTATAGTGGAAATATTGTTTAAACAAAAGAAAATGTAACATGAAAATATACAAGATTTCTCGTCACTATTTAAGAAAACGAATTTTTTTTAATACAAATAATTTTTTTTGTAAATTTTTAAAAGTACTTGTAGTTAAAAGAAAGTTCATATATTCATAGTACATTATAAAAGGCTTATTTCATATTATTGGTAATTCTGAAAAAGACTGTAAACATTTGTAAATTAAACACAGTAAATTTGGGAAGCCAACGATAAATAAAACAAAATAAAGGGCCTTGTGGATAATTTGATATATTCTCATTCTGGGTTCGTACCAGAAATAACTGCCAAAACCGATAAATGCAAACAGCCAAATCGGTTTTATTCAATGCCAAACCAGTAAACCAGAGTTATTTCTACCGAGCTCGGTGTAATCCGGTTCGGCCTTACACCTATTCTATATTTTCTATACCGAACCAGTTTTGTGTCCTGTGAAATCACAAGATACAACCATTTAACAACAAACAATCAAATTAAACCAGATCATCCTAATCAAATTCCGATCTGGTTCAAGCATAGAGGCTTCTTCCGCAGCGATCGCACTCGGTTAAATGAGATACCGGGGTTTTACCGGCATTAATTTTCCTCAGATTTGGAAGATCGACCTCAAGAACATCATGAAGAGCCTTAGAGCCTTCTCGGAGTTCATCAGAGCTGGCAAAACAAAAATGAAAAAAGAAATCCATAACTGTTCAGTCGATAAATAATGATAAACCGCTCAAAAACCTAGACCGGTTTAGCTGTTTTTTTAATTTACCTTATGGAGAGAGGTGGAGTTAACCGGACAATGGTGTTGTGAGTCGGTTTAGCCAATACTCCTCTCTCCTTCAAGCTTAAGCAAATATCATAAGCTGAAACCGGAGATAAGCTCTCGCTGTTGAACTCAACCGCATTGAACAATCCTCTTCCTCGTACTTCTTTTATCTCATTAGGAAACTGTTTCTTGATCTCATTCAATTGAATCCTTAGCTCTTCTCCAAGTCTTGCTGATCTATAAAGACTCAACCAAATACAAGAATTCAAAAAGCTTAATCTAAAGAACCTGAATCGATTTAGAAAGTAAAATAACAGTACCTTTCAACAAGTTTTTCTTCTTCGATAACGTCTAAAGAAGCCATAGCTACAGCACTAGCTAAAGGGTTCCCACCAAATGTGCTGATTTTGACAATCAGAATACAAAAAAAAAGGAACAAGCTTTGTCACAGATTCACAATCAAACCAATAAGAAGAGTGAAGTAACATTGATCCGAACCTTCCGTGTTGGCCAGGTTTGATATGAAGCATCACATGTTTATCAGAAAGCACTGCACTTACTGGAATCACTCCTCCTCCTAATGCTTTCCCAAGTATCTTCACAAAACAGATTCAAGATTTTGATATATAATCTATGTAATAGCTTTGCTTGGAGGTATGAAATCTAAAGGAACAGAACATATACCACCATGTCAGGACGGATTTCTTCCCAGTCACAAGCTAACATCTTCCCGGATCTCGCTAGACCGCTTTGTACTTCATCAGCGATCATCAAAACGTTGTGTTTTGTACAGAGCTCTCTAACAGCTTTCAGATAACCATCAGGAGGAATCACAACCTAAACCAAAAAGCCATTTTTAACATCTTAGAAACAGAACTTTTAGATTATATATCAAATCTTGAACTAAAAAGATGGAACTTACTCCAGCTTCGCCTTGAATAGGCTCGAAAAGAAACCCTGCTATTTTATCTCCTTTCTCTGCAATTATCATAACATTAACATGATCCACTAAATAACTCAAAGCTCAAGAGCTGAAGAAGGAAACATTTTACATACCTTTAAAGATTTTCTCAAGTGAATCAGCGTCACCGAAATCAACTTTAAGATTCCCAGGCAACAATGGCCCGAATCCACGCGTAGCATCATTGTCACAACTCATTGAAATAACTGCTAATGTACGACCATGAAAGCAACCACAACAAGAGACGATTATAGCCTGTAAATACAAAACATTTCTCAACTTTTTAATATGTTATGCAAACAAAAATTCCTTTAAACAAGATTAGTGTTACCTCATCTTTGGGAATGTTTTTCTTCTCGTGACCCCATTTTCTTGCGATTTTCAAAGCGGTCTCGACACCTTCAGCTCCGGTGTTCATAGGAAGAACCATCTCATAACCAAACATGTTCGTGAGACGCTCTGCGAATATCGGGAATTTGTCGTTATAGAATGCTCGTGAGCTTAAAGTGAGCTTCTCCACTTGTTCCTGCAATGCCTTCACGATCTTAGGATGACAATGTCCCTGCAATGGTATAAAAACATCACACAAATTACATTTAATGTCTCACATTGAAACAAAAAAAACAAAGAATCCAAAAAGTATATAACTTTTCCACAGATTGTATCTTCAAGTGAAGCAGTTTTGGAATTATGTTACCTGATTAACTGCAGAGTAAGCTGCAAGGAAATCGATGTATTTTTTTCCTTCAGGGTCCCATATAGTTGAGCCATTTCCGCGAGAAAACACAACAGGAACAGGATGGTAACTGGATTTTTGGGCACACATACACACAAGAGAAATTTTACAGGTTAAAGGTAATTAGCAAAGAGTTACATAACTAACATCAACGAATAATCAGAATTTTCAAATTCTGAAAAACAAACAAAACTCTAAACTTTTTCTGCTTCTTTCACATCTGCAAAATCCATTTTAGAACACAGCAATGACCAGACAAAAAAAAGATCACGTCGCTGGAGAAGAAAAACTTAGATTTGAATTCTTGATATCTTCGAAACTGATTAGGAACACACTTAAAATGAAAGATGATCGCTATAATAAAAGAAAAAAGTTCCATTTTGAATCATGTCTATGAAATATTATAGATTTCGATTAAAATCAAAACCCAAACTCAAAAAAAACGTGAAACGAAAATCAAAGAACAAGAATTTAAATTAAACGATCAAAACCCAGAACTCAGAAAGAGGAAAATTTCGGAATTTCAATTCATCGACGATATATCCAAACCGAAAACTTAGAAGAAACAAAATAAATAAAGAGAGAGAGACTTTACTTGTGGGCGCTGAATTCGGATTCCAATTCCATCAATTGCTGAGAAGAAGACGGAGATTTGGAGTTCGACTGCGGCAGGCCGCCATAGCTCCGTCGTGCTCCGGCGGTAGAAATTCTGGTAGACACACGGTGAAGCAACCGTCTCGTGGCTGCCATTAGAGTCTTTCGGAGGTGGACTCTTCCTCTTACTTTTGGTTCGTTTTCTCGGAAATTGATCGTTTCTCGGGATGCAAAACTTATCCGGATCATAAAAAGTGGTAAGATTATCAATAGGGCGATTTCAAAATTGATTTACGGTTTGGTTTCCGGTTTATTTTCTTTTATTTAGTCAGTTTTACCAATATGACAGAAGCTAAAACCAAATTATAGTTTGGATTTTTTTCCCATTTGATTGATTCGACTTTCTAAAATTTAACATTATTAACAACAATTAGTTTGCAGAACTAATTTCGTTCTGACGATTCCGGTTTGGTTAAAGTATTTTCTACATTTTGCATCAATCTCCAGTTAATTTCATTTTTGGAGTTTTAGTTTAGAATTTTCGTCTTTCTGAATAATGAAATTCGATGCCGTAAAAAAATATAGAGGACATATGAATTTCGAAATATGTTGGTTGGATATAAATAATACATCGTTAACAGTAATTCTGATTCACATATCTTTGAAATAAAATGGAAAATCAATTTATAATTGCGTGACGCCAACTACTCTACTACATGACCACAGAATAAAAAGTTTTGCAAGACTACTAACATCAACATCTATCTCTTTCTAAGATAACTATCCTCAATGACAATGACCTGTGATCCAAAAATGCGGAAGACTATAACTGTCAAGAACAAAACTATGACTTGCCTACACTAAGCTTTAAAAAATGCCAAGATGTGTCGAAATTTAAGGCTAAAGCTAGTCGGAAAAAAATGATCAAACCGGGAAAGCTATAGAAGAAACAAGAGTGTTTGCTTGTTTCTAGTTATCTAGTTATGTTGGAACCCGAGGTTTGTCTGAAAAATGCCAGCGCGAAGTGATCAGACCGCAAAAGTTAAAGCAAAAGTAGACACAACAGATTAAGAAAAGCTTGGTGTTGCGGGTTCTAAACCTAAAAACCTGTACTGATAAGTGATAACCTACAGTATCTACAATTGAGTATGGACACAGATACATGATCAGAGCTCACGGGATATCATCCAGGAAAAGAATGAAGAAGAAGAGCTAGAGATAAAGAAGATCAATCAGTGGCCTAATATTGTAGCAGAGAATGGGTTGATGAGCAATTTACCAAGTGTAAGAAAAAACTAAAATGGATTTCAAATCATGAGATTGCAAGATCAAAGCTTCTAAGAAGCAGGAAAAATTCTAGTCATCAAGAAAAATAGATCTAAAGACTAATGTTCTTGAAGATCGCTAGGCAACTATAGGCTTATATAAGCTATGGCTGTTCACTGCAGAAATTTCTAGAGAAACACCAAGAACAGTGATGTGATGCGATGTGATAAGTATACTTTGGCATCACATATGAAGAAGCTGAGAAATGGGATTTGCAGAGTCAGTAAGCTAACATATAACTGATAGGGCTGCTTTGGACTGCTTTGGCCTAAGCACAAAGCAGACACGATTCCATATGCGGAGAATAAAGCAAAAAAGCTTGATTGATATAAGATCGATTTGTTTTATTGCAAAGAGATAAGCATTTATTGCACGAACAGCTCGCAAGGAAAGGGAGAAAGAATGGTCCTGAAAGACTATAAATTTGCTAAGCAAGAGAAACCAAAAGTTACCGAATGGAGATGGAGATATCAAAAGTTTGGTGACAGATGCAACCATATTCAAACATGAAGCTTGATGGAAGGAGGAGGAAACCCTGAGAAACCTGATCAATGAAAATCCACTGAGAGCTAGAAAGATGGAGCACACTAGGATTTCGAGGGCAGAGCAACTATTTCAAGTGGACATGATAAAAGCTTGGAACAAGTTCTCTGCGGTACGCTTCTGTTCAGGTGTTCCGGAAATGAGAGCAATGCGACCTCCATGGGAAGTTTTGGAATCAGAAATTTCTATCAAAGCTCCTGATATCTGAGAGAGAGAGAAAGAGAGAGAGAGAGAGGGCAGAGATCATGTGAAAATGTTATATCAAAAAGAGAAGAAGAAGGGTCAAAGGAGGATATGGTGATCAGAGAGGAAAGAGGAAGGAATATCAAAAGATTCATGAAAACAAACCCTTCTTATGTTATCCAAGTTGCCTCCTCCTTTGCCCATTACTTTACCCACTGCATTTGAAGGAATCCGAATCTCCATGGTAGTTGATTGAGGCAATCTGTGAATGCACAAGATAAGTTGAAATAACAAAGAAAAACGAAACCAACTTCTTCTCTTTCTTTGCAAACTTACCGTCCATATATGTTGGATGAGTACGAAGAGTTTGATCCATAACTGTTATTGCCTGCCTGTTAGTAGAAAACTTATGAGCTATAATAAAACATATAAAATGAGAAATTTCAGTTTGAGCAGAAGAAAGATATGTTACCGGAAAACTTCCATAACCATAGAGTCCACTGGTCGAAGAAAGCATGCCCATGCTGCTCCCGGTTTCTGGTCTCCTATCAAAATCTACAGAAGCAGCTTGCGGAACAGAAGACATGAAAGATGGAGGAAGTGCAAGACCAGCACTACTATTAGTAGCCGGAGAGAAGAAGCTGTTACTCTCAGATCTTGCAGGAGGTTGGTTCCTGGAAGAACCAATCTCTCTATCTCTTAAAACATCATCTCGAAGCCTCAAAACAATCTGAATAAGAGCATCTCTCACATTGCTTGCTTCACCCGATATCTAAATTGAAAACAAAAAAAACAATCAAACACCATTAGAGAAGTTGGAAGAACTGAGTACAGGAAAGCTCAACTCATTACCTCAACGAGCTCATCGTTTGGATCAGCAAACTTAGGCTTATTACTCCCTTTAGAGATATGAATATCAGCATTAGTCCTCTTCCTGATCTCGCTTATGATTGAGCCACTTTTCCCTATAATGCATCCTATCACCTTAGAAGGTACAAGGAGTTGCATTTTAGCTTTCTCCTCGTCTTCATCGTTAATCTTGTCTTGAAGTAAAAGAACAGCTTCAACAGCCATAGACTTCAAATCATCAGGAGACTCTTTAGAAGTGACGGTGATAACACACTCTTCATCACGGTTTGCCCTTGAGTCATTAACCTCGATATATGACCCACTTGCTTGTCTTATTCCCTTAATGGTTGATCCTCCTTTCCCGATAACACGACCGATGTTAGAAGAAGAGCACAGAACTTTCAAAACCAACTCTTCTGATCTTGAAGAACCGCCAAAACTATGAGAAACCACGGGAAGAGAGGAAGAAGAAAAAACCGGCATTGGATTCGCAGCAGCGGTTTCTCCATATCCCTGTGGTAGTGTACCGATAAACGATGGAACACTGGCTCCATGTTGGAAGATAGGATCTTGGTTCGGGTACAAACCGGTTTGTGGATAAATTGAGAGATCTGAAGGGATTATAATACTAGCAGGAACTTCTTGAACAGTTGTATCCAGAGGAATCTGTTCACGAGGACTGAACTTGTACATGATAGCAGAAACAGCAAAGATTGCTCTCTTCACGGATTCAGGCTCTCCAGATATCTAAAGAAACATAGATTAAAGTTAGCAAAGAAACATACGCTTACAGACTTGAAGAAAGTTTCAGATACTAACCAAGACAATGTTGTCAAAATCCATGGCACAAGTGTGTGAAGGATCAGAAACATCTTTAGAGACAATCTTAACGCTAGCTCCAGTTCTACTCCTAACCTTCTTAATCGTCGAACCAGCTTTACCAATCACATTAGAACATTGACTAGACGGGACTAAAAGGCGACATTCTCCAATATCATCTCTATCTATCTTAGTATTCTCAGCAGCAGTAGCTAAAGAAGCAACAATGGCGTAATGGAGTTTAATAAGAGCATCTTGAGCAGGACACAAAGGCACAATCTGCTCGGTGTAGTTCGGTTCGAGATTCTCTATATCAACTATATCTTTCTTCTCCTTAACCGAGCAGTAAATCGTTATGACTCTCTCGCTACAACCAGGGAAAGGATCAACGACTTTGATCCTTGCTCTTGTTTCTTGCCTAATCACATTAATCACTTTCCCACTTTTGCCTATCACACTTCCTATGACTCCACTAGGGCATAAGATCCTGTAGACAACGAGGTCGTCTTTGTTGTTGAGCTTCTCTTCGGTTTCGTAAGAAAGTCTTCTCTTTTGATTCTTATCGTTCTCATTGTTGTCCCTAGTGCTACGATTATGATGAGTTCTCTTCCCTCTCTCAACCATTTGTTGCTCTTGAAGATTACAAAAACCCTGAAACACACAACAAGAAGCAAACTTTGCTTGGTCCTATAATAAAGAGAGAGACTTTACAATGATCAATTGCAGAAACAATTAGATAGAGAGAACAAGCAGATATAATGGCTACAAATTGGAGAGAAACCCTACAATCTAACGAAAATTTGAAATTGGGTGGAAGAGAGGAAAAAAAGTGAAAGTAACGATTTTTATTTCGATTTGAAACCAATTGGACTTGGAAATTGATTTTATTGCATCCAAGAATGTATAAGGAATTACAATTAGGGAGATAAGAATCGGAGAGAAACCTTTGATGACAAGAAAAAAAGCTAAAATTGAAATTGGGTGGATAAGAAAAACTGAAAGTATCAACTGTTTTGTCAATTTGGAAATCTAAAGAGGCTTGAAAATTGGATAATTGGAATAAGACAGAGAAAGCAATTCAAGACAAGAACATACCAAGACGATTGAAGATTTTCCGTCCCGGAGATTCTCAGAGATGAGAAGAAAACAAAACCCCAATAACGTGATTGAAACCTTTTGATTTGTATTAATTGTTTGTGAAGACGAGGAGAGAGAGAGAGAAAGAGTTTTGTCTGTTCCAGAAGAGATGGCGGCGACTTGTTAATTAAGATTAGATATTCCCTCGTAGGATCACTTAACTTTGTTTTTAGATTTGGTATTTTTCTTTTTTTCTTTTTTTTGACGATTTGGTATTTTTTCTTTAGCACCAAAAAAAAATTATTTCTCTATTTAACTGATTTCTCCCAAAAAAAATTATTTTTTTTTAATTTTTTTTAATCATCTAATTTTTTTTTTATTATTTCCGAATAAACGGTAAACACAAATTAATACAAGAAACAATAAACTCAAACAAAATAATTAAATACCGAAAACAATAAGCCAAACAAAAAGTTAAAATCCCAAATGATTTGGAAATCTTACAACAAAGCTGAGATCACTAAACAAACTAATATATAAAAGCTTAATTAGAAATAAGAAGAATGGATACACAAATTTGCCAAATTATTTGAGAGGACTAGAGGCAAAACTACAATACAATATAAGGAACGAAGCGAGCAATAAGAAGATGAAGTCAAACCAAACAAAACTCGTACACCCCAATAAATAAGTCAACTATTTTGACAAGTGCGGGGGAGACTGGAAATTTTTCTCTCTCCTCTTCTCCTTCTCTGCAATTTCAAGATCTGAACTTGCAGTCAAACTAAAACTTCCTGATCTCCCTCTCCGGCGCGCGTGGTGGCTCACCGTCGCCGGAGGAGGACCCCCATGTTTCCCTTTTTCTTCTGCATCTCTTTTTTTTCTCTTTAGATCTGGTTTCCGCCGTGATGGGTGTTGCAGGAACGATGGTGGTTTCGTCGGTGGGTTCTCGACGACGGTGGCGCGGGCTTCAGCGGCGTCGCTGGATCCGCGGTGGAGGTGGTCCGTCTTCATTCGTAGTTGGCGTCCCCCTCTGTCTGCCTTCGTTTTTTCCGGCGTCTCTTCCTCTCTTCTCGCATCTGGTTTCTTTTTCTCTCCGGCGTGTTTCCTCGGCGTTTCTTTTAGAGTCTCCTGCCTGAGACGAGCTCTCTGGCTTTAGTCGAAGGTGTGCAGGTGGTGGCTGTCTCTTCCGACTACAGTCCCTCTCAAACTTCGTTCGCGAGGTGTCGGAGTAGTGGCTAGATAGTAAAGAGCTTCTGTCAATTCCGGCGGTCCAGTATTGGATTTTGAGGACGAATTTGATCTCTGGCTTAAAGGGTTTTGGCAGCAGCTTTTGGCTTGTGACAAGCCTCGGAGTGGTGGCTCTCGTATCTCCGGCAGGTGCGGCTCTGGTGTCTCTCAGCGGTGGCTCAAGACGGGTGGCTCGGTGGTTGCCCCGCTGGTTTGTCTCAGCTTTTGGCTCCTCCGCCGTCTACGGCTTCGGTGTGGCCTGAGATTTTCCGAAGGTGCGTGTGTCCGATTATATGCGATAGCTCTGCGTTTGTGTATAGTTCTTGGTTTGTGGTGGCTCTGGATGTGATCCGGTGTAGATGGTGGAGTATTACTGGACGTGATTGTTGAGGCGCCGGTTTGTTGTTGCGGCTAGTTTGTAGCTGTGGGAGCTGGTTCTCGAGGAAATTCGTTTTTTTTGGGAATGGTAGTCCGAGGTGACTCTCCGATGGCCCTTGCGGGCTCCCTTGTCAACGGTTGCAGGTTAGTCCGTTACGGAATCCGGAAATTCCATTAGTTCTCGGAGAAGCTGTAGGCGTTTCTCTTTTGAGGTTTGAGGGTTGGCCTCAGAAAGATGCTTGTGGCAACAAAGATGAGAACTCTAGTTCTTCGGAGCTGTGGTAATTACGAGGTGGTCTGCGTTTTGGCGTGCGACTGCTGCTTTCCCGTCTGGTTTTGCTTCGGTTTTATTTTTAATTCCACAATCCATTTTCTTATGCTTTCGTTGTTGTTTGCTGCATTTGTCGGATTTGTTAGTAGTTTTTTATTTTCGATTTTTCTGATTTCTTTGTAATCTCTGTAACTTCTGTAAAAAATTCGAAAATTGGTAATATAATTTTAACATGTTTACCAAAAAAAAAAACTCGTTTTTAAAACAAGAGGATTAATTAAGTCAAGCCACCACCAATCCTCTAAGGGAACTCTTTGTCAAAACCTAAAAAAAAATAAAAAAAATCTCTTAAGGGAAAAAGCAAGTTTTGTTTGTAATATCATGAAGGACGACAATGTCCACCAGGTCCTCCAAACGTAAGAGTCTCTCTGGAATCAAAATCTACATACTTAAGAAACATTACACCATAACACTTAGGATCATCAATGTAATACTCGACCTCGTTTGAATTAATATCCACTAGTGTATAATCCGAGAGAACATATCTAAGCTGTTTCATATAGCAAGACCGAGTCAAATCTTTTGTCGGAAAATCTCCAGTTCCCATTGGTGGGCTCAGGGTATAAGGCAATGAAGTTCCTGCAAATCCACCAAAGTAAACTTCAGAAGCTCCATCTGCCATGTAAGTTTGACGTGGCCAATAACCTATCATTATGGTGCCTATCGTCAATACCCAATTTTTGGTCACTGGATCCTGCATTTATATATAAATTTAAAAGAAATATAGTAGACCGTATATTTGAATGTAAATGCAAACGAAAGAAACAATTAAACCTATGATTGCTTTTTATTGAAATTAGGGTTTTATATACCTCGGCAACAGAAAGATGAACAGTGTGTTGTTGCCCTCCTGGAATACTGACTTTATCATAAATCATACCAGGGTAAATTGATTTATGAATTTGGACATAACCGCCTGGGCATAACGCATTGTAACATCCATCTTGTTGTTTTTCCGACTGTAATATATAATTAGTGCATTTATATTTGATTTTGGTATCACCATAATGAACCAAAACATCTTAAATTTTCATGAAACGTCGGGGATAAATATATTAATTCATTACAGACATTACTCACCATCCAATATGTTGTTAGTCTTGGACGGTCATCTTGATATAGTTTTGTATGCACCTATGAATGGAACGAGCAGTTTGAGGTGTTGAATTTAAAAATAAATTCAACTGATCCGAGTAAAAAGTGAACCTAGCTAGGTATGTATATTTTTAAAAATAAAAATGGAGTTGAATTCGATTAAAATACTATTGTTTTTTAGTTAGTATAATCTCTCCAATCGATAAAATGTAAAAAAAAACCAATATTTTTATGGAAAAAAAAAGAATCTTAATATTGATTAATACGAATTTACTACGCTTTAGATGTATCGAAAGAGCTAATAGCAAGTTCCAAATGAACCGTAAAAACCCAACTTTTTATCTGTCATACAGAAAAGAAACTTGGATTCTTTAAAAAGATAAAGATATGCACATCGTATTAAATGAATCAAACCAAAACCGACTTATATTAGAATCGATTACTATTCTTCTTAACAAAATAAACTAGAAAATAAAACAACCTAAATCAAAATTCAGATTAAACACTTTTCGAATCAATTCTAAAAAATGGCTGAACTTTTCAGATTGATGAAGACTTTTAGATTAAGTGTAATATTCGAATATTTGATGACTTTTCATACACACAAAAAAAAAAATACTAATCAACTGATACTTACAGCCACACCAAACTGGATGCTGGTCATTACGTTCATTTGTATGTAATTAAGCCAAATCCAAGCCTTACTATATTGATCTTGCGCCACTCGCGGCTTGTTAATGGTGAACAATGCCTGTGCTCCACGCCATTTTTTTGTCGTATTTTCAAATGTCCTGAGAATTGCATACTATAAAGAAAAACAAAAATATTCGTGTGTTTATAAGATATTCTTTAGGTAATAACAACTATGAGTTCAGTAGGGTTTTGCATCTTAATGTACAATACTTACATGTTGATTGTACTCCCTAAATATTTTTGGCTGGTTGTGGGGCTTTTTGTTTCTTTGTGAAAACGTTGCGGAATATGTATATTTATAGTTTAATTTTTTGGTACGTAGTTTGTTATATCTCCTCTTTTCAATCCCACGAGCTTGTTTCAAGAGACGGCCTAAAACAGATAAAACAATTGTGGGCATAGTTTTAACAGAACAAATCTTAATATTTTTATTTAGTACAGGATTAAGAACCAATAAATAAAATAGAAATCGGTCAGTTAAATTTAGGCGTAAATAATCATATTTATGTTTGAGTTTATTTATTTGTCAATGTATTTAATTTGCATTTAAACAAAACTTAACATGTTAACATTAAAAATAAATTTTGTTTGTGTTTCGTATTTATCTTTATAGTATCCAATAAAAATTTGTACTATAGTTTGTTTGTACTTAGAAAAAAGACACATTGTTCGTAAAAAAAAATCTATGCGTTTTGCGTTGCCTTGACTTTCAAATAATTTATAATAAAAAAAGACCGAAAAAATTAAGAAGTACACCTGAAAAACGCAGGTACCTATTTAGCCAAGAAAACTCGAAATAAACAAAGATAAGATAGTAAAAAACTGAAATTCAATATATTGCCATCAAAGTTGAGTAATATTAAGAAGCTTAGGGCAAGAGCTTTTACCTGCTTTAGTAAATTGTTGGGGATGGACAATATTATTGGTTAAGTTGGTTTTTGGTTTGTGAATCGGTACTTGTCCTTTAGGACATTCTTCTGATCCCTTCAAAACAATCTTTGTGATTGTGTCATCATTGGAACTAGAAAGCATTGATAAAAGTTCTCGACTTGGTCTAGTCTACAATAAAAACAACAACGATTATACTGTTTATTCCAGCAAAATTGTTTATAAAAGCTTGATTCAGCATGTTTAATGGCAAAATTTGATACCTGTATTAGGTGATTCTTCATTAGAGGATGTTGTAGTGCAGATTGTTCGTACATAGAGACGCATTCGAATTCAGTTTCTAGATTCTGCAATATACCTTTCCATATGAGAAAATTGATAAGTTTGGAATACCAAATGCTTGTTATATGATTAACCTACCATAGTTGGTTTAGCAATACAATTGACGCATATAAGGCCCAAGGAGATTAACTTCAACCAAAGAGAAGCCATTGTTTTCTATTTGTTTTTTTGTTTCAAGTTATGAGTTTTTAAAGAGTTATGCTTTGTCTTCTTATTTTCTTACCTTAAGCTTTGCAGTGGTTACAAAAATAGGAAAGTGCCAGTTTTCATGCATACTAAATATATCGAAACCAAATTTTAACCATTGATCACCTAAGGGCAAAAAAGGAGAAATTATTCAAAAGACCAAAAGTCCACTCCAAACCTAAGGTTCTCTCTGGAATCAAAATTTATAAATAAACAATTAAACCAACTTGGTTTGTCATTTCATGAAAGACGACAATGTCCACCAGGTCCTCCAAACGTAAGGGTCTCTCTCGAATCAGAATCTACATACTTAAGAAACATTACACCATAACACTTGGGATCATCAATGTAATACTCGACCTCATTGGAATCAATATCCTCTATTGTATAATCCGAAAGAACATATTTAAGCTGTTTCATGTAGCAAGACCGAGTCAAATCTCTTGTCGGAAAATCTCCAGTTCCCATTGGTGGGCTCAAGGTATTAGGCAATGAAGTTCCTGCAAATCCACCGAAGTAAACTTCAGAAGCTCCTTCTCCCATGTGAGTTTGACGTGGCCAATAACCTATCATTATGGTTCCTATCGTCAATACCCAATTTTTGGTCACTGGATCCTGCATTTATATATAAATTTTAAAGAAATATATTAGACCATGCAATACTCATATTTGTACTCATTGTTTGTTTTAACCTTACAATATTCAACAATGCTTGACAGAATCACTAAAACTGTATTTACTCTTTTCAAGTCAAAAACCAAAAAAAAAGAGAAGGAAAGAACATATCAACAAAAAATTGAAAGGTTAATGCAAACGAAAGAAACAATAAATCTATAATGGATTTTTTTTTTTTTAATTAGGATTTCATATACCTCGGCAACAGAAAGATGAATAGTATATTGTTGTCCTCCTGGAATGCTGATTTTATCAAAAATCAAACCAGGGTAGATTGATTTATGAATTTGGACATAACCTCCTGGACATAACGCATTATAACATCCATCTTGTTGTTTTCCTGACTGATATATATATATATATATATATATAATTAGTGCATTTATATTTGATTATACTTTCACTTAAAATGTCTTAAATTGTCATGAAACGTAAGTAAAAAAAATCATTCTTACCATCCAATACGTCGTTAGTCTTGGACGGTCATCTCGATATAGTTTTGTATGCACCTGTGAATCGAGCGAGGAGTACGGTATTGAATTTGAATATATGGATTGACGTAATCCGATCAAACAGTGAACCCAATAATATATTTTTTAAATGAAATGAGGTTTAGATTTGATTAAAATAGTTTTACTTCTTAGATATCCAAAAACTATAATCAAACCACTAAAATGTAAACTAAAAAAATGATCTTTGAATATTTTGATGAATTTTTACCCAAAAATATAACTAATACTTACAGCCACACCAAACTGGATGCTGCTCATTTCGTTCATTTGTATGTAATTAAGCCAAATCCAAGCTTTACTATATTGATTTTGCGCTACTCGAGGCTTGTTAATGTTGAACAATGCTTGTGCACCATGCCATTTTTTTGTCGTATTTTCAAATTCCCTGATAATTGCATACTATAAATAAAAATGGATTACTCATGTATCACTATTAGTCGTTACCTAATAATTATAACATATTTAATGGCCTTTTGCAGTTCAATGTACTTACATGTCCATTGTACTCCCTAAATATTTTTGACGGGTAGTGAGACTTTCTCCTTTGTTTAACCCAACGATCTTGTTTCAGGACACTACCTAAAACAGAGAAAAATTGTTGACATAGTTTACAAGAAAGCTTAATATTATAAATTTACCACAGAATAAAGAAACAATTAATAAATATAATAGAAAACAGCAAAAAAAAAAACACATACTTAATCGTCAAAAAACGAAAGTGTTTGCGTTTTGCGTTGAATTTACGACTTTCAAATTAAGTTTGATAATAGACTGAAAATATAATATTATATATATTGGAAGTGAGCATAGTAAAATCAAATGCAGACGCACAATCGGTAATCTCAAGTATCTATTTGGCTTAGAAACCTCAAAAGAAACAATCATAAGATGATAAAAAATTTGATACTCAATATATATTGCCATCAAAGTTGATTAATTACCTTCTTTAGTAAATTGTTGGGGATGGATAAAAATATTAGTTAAGTTGGTTTTTGGTTTGTGAATCGGTACTTGTCCTTTGGGACATTCTGCGGATTTCTTCAAACCAATCGTTGTGATTGTGTCATCATTAGAACTAGAGAGCATTGATAAAAGTTCTCGACTTGGTCTAGTCTACGATTAAAAAAAACGACAATGGTTAAGGTTTATAAAGCTTGATTTACTGTGTTTAATGGCAAACAATTGATACCTGTATTTGGTGATTCTTCATTAGAGGGTGTTGTAGTGCAGATTGTTCGTAGATAGGGACACATTCGAATTCAGTTTCTTGATTCTGCAATAGATTTTAACACTTTTAATATGAGAAAATTGATATAGAAGTTGGTAATACCAAATACTTGTTATAATGTACCAGAGTGTGTTTAGCAGTACAATAGAGGCATATTAGACCTAAGAAGAATAACTTCAACCAATAAGCCATTGTTTTCTTTTTGTTTGTTAAATTTGTTTTTTTTCGAAGAATAACTTCAACCAAAATAAAGAATCACTCTTTAGTTCTATGTTGAAAAGAGTGATTCTTTATTTTGTTCATTTAAGGTTTTGCATTGGTTACAAAATAGGAAATTTCCGTTTTTAATGCGTACTTAGTATTACTAGTAAAGATATCCGAAAGACCAAAAATCTAAGATATTTGTGCATTCATAAATATTATGCGAAAGTTTTCTTTCCTCTTAAAGCTGGTCAAAACATTAAGAAAAAATTCCAGTCAAACTAAAATATAACGACTCAGTCAACTCATAAGCCTTTATAATTATTGTTTTTGAATTTTCTTTAATAGCAAAAAAGTATAAGAAAAATATGCAAGATACAAAAATGAATAGAGATAGATGAATTCAAATGAAAATGTTAAAAAATAGCAGATATGTAATTAATAAATGAGAGATTCCTGTCCAACTAAGGATGTTTACATAAACAAAACATAAAAATTACATTTAAGCCTATTCAGATTTTTATTCAATTTTTAGCTTTATATTAAATTAACATTAATTTTCATCAAAATCTAGAAACAAATATTGAATGAAAAAATACTAATGTAACAAGAAAGAGTTTCATAAATGAAAGTATATTTTTTAAACATAATCATCTTATATATAAAAGACAATCAACTCTCTCCAGCTGAGTGACACATCAGCAGTAGAGAGAGTGACACATGTCCATTAAAAATATCCATAAAAGTATTAATTAATCAAATTTAAAGCAAATACATTAAAGATTATAAATAAATAAACACATTAAAGAATAAAAGTAAATAATAATATATATTTATATTAGAATGAAATTAAAATGAAATTTAAGTCTATAAAACTTATAAATATTATATAATAAAAAAAAAAATTTAAATGCACAATTCTATTTTTTCAAGTGATTGAAACTTCATTTTTAAACTAAAATTATAATTAAATTTTAATGCAAGTGAAAAAAATAGATTGAATAAGTTAAGAAGTTTCAAATAATCTTATATAAAACTCCAACTAATAAAATTATAAAACACAAATAATATTTAAAGAATGATGTCCACATAAAAATGTCATGGTTTTTTTACTAAAAAAAAAAAAGAATGGAATCAAGATATATATAACCAAAAAAAAATTAATATAGTAAATTGAGAAAGTTAACAAATATTATATTAGTAAGATTTACAAGACTAAAAAGAATATGAAGATCGAAGAACAAATAAATATTTCTCTCTAATATTCAACATATATTTTTAAATGAACTATTACGTTTTCATATAAAATTAAAATAGTAGATTTTTAGTCCTTTATTATCTTGAGAGAAAATTAGACTATTTGACACAATTGATGTAGAATAGATTACATCAAAAAAAAATCGAATAAAATATAAATATTTTAAACGCAAAAACATTAAATTAAACATAAAATCTAATACAAATTTTAAAACTGTAATATTTAAAATATAAATTAAAACAAGACCTGCGCGTATGCGCGGATGCTCTCCTAGTATATATAAAAGAAAAGATTTCACTCTCTCTCTCTCTATTGAGTCACTTGGCATTTTTTTTATATCTTATTTTATTTCTTTTTAATTACACAAGTATAACACATTGAATTCTTTTAACTCATACAAACAACAATAACATAAATTTACATTTATGACATCTTTTATCCCAAAAAATTATCAATGGTATTTTTCCCTAGACAAAAAATCTTCTACTATATAGAAAAATAGTATAAGATTTTTATTAGTCCATTTGGCAATTTTGAACAAAATACTCCATTTTAAATAAACCAAAATACATATGTAGATACATTATTGTATATAATTAAAAATTAATTTGCAATTCATTTTAAAAATCTTATATATAAAAGTTGCTCAACTTTCTCTATATGCTTGACACATCAGCATTGGAGAGGTTGACACCTGTCTCTTAAATTTTAATTAATAAATTTTAATATTAAATTTTAAAGCACTTAAAGAAGATGAAAATTTTGTTTTATTAATTGACTGTTAAAAAAAATTTATGTTATAACTAATTAAAATTATTAATAGATATGTATTTAATTTTTGTATAACTGTAAATTACTTAAATTAAAAATATTGATAGATATGTATTTAATTTTTTATATACTGTAGATTACTTAATAATATTCAAGATGTATTTTAAATAATTTTTTTAAGATTATTTATAATAAAATACTAACAAATAATAAATGAAATGATGATTATATTACTCTTATATATAAAAGTTGTTCAACTTTCTCTATATGCTTGACACATCAGCAGTGGAGAGGTTGACACCTGTCACTTAACTTTTAATTAATAAATTTTAAAGCACTTAAAAAAGATGAAAAGTTTGTTTTATTAATCGACTGTTAACTAAAATTTATATTAATGTTAAAATAATTTATGTTATAACTAATTAAAATGATTAATAGATATGTATTTAATTTTTATATAACTGTAAATTACTTAAATTAAAAATATTGATAGATATGTATTTAATTTTTATATAACTGTAGATTATTTAATAATATTCAAGATGTATTTTAAATAAAAATTTCAAGATTATTTATAATAAAATACTAACAAGTAATAAATGAAATGATGATTATATTAATTTTAATTTTTTATTAATTAACTATTAATTAATATATGTGTAAATGTTAAACAAAAGTTTATGTTATAATTAAAAAATATGGAATGATATCTATTAATTTTAATATAACTTTAAATTATTAATAATATTCAATATGTATTTTAAATTAATATTTTAAAATTTTTAGAATAAAATATTAACAAGTAAGTAAGTAACAAATGATAATTATATTAATTTTTATAAAAATATTAAAAAATTTTAAAAAAATTGAACGTGCGGGTATTCACCTAGTATAACTAAAACTACAAACCTCCTAATCAATATAACTAGACAAAGTTAAATATTTTCTCCACTAAATGTTTTGTAACGTATATCATTTAAGAAAAAAAAATTCAAAAGAACACATTATTATCCAAAATACTATGACTTTCTAAACTGAAACGTAATTCATCAAATATAATTTGTAATTCATTATAACCCCGATCGGCTCTCTCTATAACGAAGCCTCTTTCCAAAAACTTGATAAAAATGGTGCTATCCGGAAACTCTCTACTACAGCTTGCTCTAATGCAGAAGTAGCCTCGACACGGTTGCATAAGGAACATTCAACACCAATGTTCCGAATTCTCATGTAATATCAGATGTCCCATGTGAAACCAAAATATAAGTTTTTAACCATCACGAATGTCGAATATGAGAAAACCATAGGCTAGATCGATCCCTGAGTTTAATCAGTAGCTTCTCTATATCAAGGAGCTACTAAGTTCTCTTTTCGTTTTAATTATTTCATGTTAAAAGCTTGCCGTGGTTCACAAGCATATACATAAAATCAGTCGAAAAGGCAAGAAAGATCATCGGAATCTCTGAGTTCTTTTTTTTCTTTTTTTTTTTTCCAAATTGAAGAAGAAAATTCGACCACTGATTGTGAATAAAATATACAGAGAAGAAAATGTTATGAAGGTGTTTACGAGAGAGATTCTAAGCAAGATAATTATATATCTGAGGATTGTTCTTGTCCCTCTCCAAGTATTCTCGATCGATCAGGCTTTCTATCCTCTTCTTCAGATCAGCCGGTTTTATTGGAAATTTCAGCTGCAAAATCACAAAAACATAATCCATACATTTCATACAGTGTATATTACGTTAAGAACAATAATAAGAAACTCTCTCATCACCATAGCAACAAGGGTCAACATCAAGGTTGGACCGAGTAACGAACTTCACGTTCTTTTTCATTAACCAACATGTTACTTATCCAGTCCATCAAGTGAAACATTAGCTCAAGATATAGTTCCGTTTTTTTTTTTATTAATCTTATTTTAGGGGTTTTGGCATCATCAAGAAAGACATATAAGAAAGTTACCTGTTGGAAGAGCTCAGTGATTAGAAGAGTATGGCTTAAGACTTTTCTTGTCTTCATAATTCGAACAATGGCTGCATCGATCTGTAAGAGAAGAATGCGATGGGGCAAGTCATTTATGTCAAATCTTCTCTTTTTCAAGGAACCAAATTGTAAACGAAACAGAAGAGGAAATAAACCTGGTATTGTCGGTCCTGGAATACTCTCTCTGTTGTACTCGTGTTCTCTTCTACCGTCTCTTTCATCTGGATTGCATTCACCTGCACCCAGAAAAATCATAATTTGGTTCATACTCTATGCCATAAGGGAAACAAGAGACTATTACGAGATTCTAGAAAGTTTGAAGTGAGGCGACCAGAAAAAAAATTGATGTACCTTGATGCGATACAGAGGAGCTGTAAAGGTATCATTAAAATCAAATTCATCCCCGTCTTGTACGTCTCTTCCCTTTGGATACTGCAAGAACATTTACATAATGTGCATCAAGATGGGGGGGGGGGGGGAAACAAAAGCAAAGCCACGATCTCAGTAGTTTCTGCATTAGTAGAAAGGTGAGTTAACAGAGTCCAGATTTTTCCTAACCTTCTGCAGGACACGAACTTTCCCACAAGCAAGCGACTGCAAAGTTCTTCTCAGTTCCTTGTCCTCTATCCCAGTGGAATCTTTTATGTCTTCGAAGCTAAGTTTCATTGCATCGTTAAATAACATCAACACAACAGCCTGAGACATTAAAAGACAACACATCTTCTAAGCAATGGATTCACACGCGGGGAATGACAGGAAATGCTCGAAAAGGGAAAAAGAGAAAATTTGACTGACCTGAAACAGGGAAACAGCAAGCTCTTTTTTGCCTTTGGAGAAATCTGCCTTCAAAACACAGTGACCTAATGAATTTTGCCACATTAACCTCCTCCCACTGTACTTGCTCAAATAGAACTCTTTGAAGATATCCTACGAAACAAACAGATAAATTAGAAAAAAATGCTTGTAAGAAAAAGCCCAT